AGTACCTTGGGTATGCCGCGTACGTGGGCTGCAGTACCGCCTTGCGCCGTTCACCTTCGTATCCACCCGCTCACCGTCGTATCCACCCCAGGTCGGGTCCTGTGGCTTTAACAGCCGCATCCTCACGCACGTGTACCCCATCCGCCTGGTCAAGGTGAATGAGGACACGATGGAGCCGCTGCGGGATGCCCAGGGCCTATGCATCCCATGCCAGCCTGGTGAGCCTGACCCCTGCCCGGTGCCTTGGGGAGCTGGGATCTGCACGGCTCCCACCCTGACTCAGCCTTAGTGTTACCCCTTCCAGGGGAGCCCGGCCTTCTCGTGGGTCAGATCAACCAGCAGGATCCTCTGCGACGCTTCGATGGCTACGTTAGCGACAGCGCCACCAGCAAGAAGATCGCCCACAGCGTATTCCGCAAGGGCGACAGCGCCTACCTCTCAGGTGCGGAGCCTTGTGACCCCGCTGGTTGGCTGGATGTGAAACCAGGTCCCACCTGCCCCTCTCCCCTGCAGGTGACGTGCTGGTAATGGACGAGCTGGGCTACATGTATTTCCGTGACCGCAGCGGGGACACCTTCCGCTGGCGCGGGGAGAACGTGTCCACCACAGAGGTGGAAGCTGTGCTGAGTCGCCTGCTGGGCCAGACAGACGTGGCCGTGTACGGGGTGGCTGTGCCAGGCAAGCTGGGGACACGGGGTGGTTGTGGGGTTAGGAGCCCCCAGGAGTCCATCCAGAAGGGACCCACAGGTACAGTATCCTTGGGTCATACACACTCTGGAGAAGTAGTTGCTGACTAGGTAGAGCACTGGATTGGGAGTCCATTCATATTGTTAACATTGGGTTTGGGGGATCCTTAAGATCCCTTATAAAATGGATATTGTAAGGACCAATGCTATCCCAGTTGGGAGGTCACAGAGTAGACTAGAACTCTCCAGGTAGATGGTGCTCTCAGCTGAACGTCCCTCTGCAGGAGTGGAGGGCAAAGCCGGCATGGCAGCCATCGCAGATCCCCACAGCCAGTTGGACCCTAACTCCATGTACCAGGAACTGCAGAAGGTTCTGGCGTCCTATGCCCGACCCATGTTCCTGCGTCTTCTGCCGCAGATGGATACCACAGGTACAGCCCCTGCCTAGGGAACCGGTTACTTTGTTCTAATTTAGACTCCTAGGCCCGGTGTGAATGAAGGGCCACAGCACCTGTCCTGGGGCGTGTCTTGTTTCCTTGATGGCTTTGTCTGGCACCCCTGTCATTGTCCCACCAGGGGTCCTCAGTTGTCGGGATCCGAGGTTCATCTTCTGCATTGTTGTGACAGCTAGGAAGCTGGAGGGCTGTGGGGACTGCACATCGTGGGGTTCTTTCTCTAGGAATTGTCTCTTTCCCTCCTCAGCCCCAGTCGGACAGCCCTTTCTTGTTCCTTTTATGCTTTTCATGTGGCGCTGAGGATCAAACCCAGGGCCCCAGGCCTGCTCGGCTAGAGTTCTGCCACTGTCTACACACCCGGTTCTTACATAAACGTCTGTTCTCTGGACTCAGCCTCTCAGGTCCTTGGATGGCAGATGTGTGCTATTCCACAAGCCTTGTGTGCTGCTGGCATGAGCCTCAGGCTCCTCCATGCTAGGCAGGTGCCCTGCCCGCTGAGCTGTCAGCGCTGCCCCAGAGAACTAAGTCCCAGCCCCGAGGTTCACCTTTCCTTTTTGTTTTTTTTTTCTTTTTCTTTTCTTTCTCTCTCTCTCTCTCTCTCTCTCTCTCTCTCTCTCTCTCTCTCTCTCTTCTTTATTTTTTTGAGACAGGTTTTCTCTGTAGCTCTGGAACCTGTCCTGGAATTAGCTCTTGTAGACCAGGCTGGCCTCGAACTCACAGAGATCCACCTGCCTCTGTCTCCCGAGTGCTGGGATTAAAGGTGTGCACCACTACCGCCCGGCTTTCTTTTCTCTTTTTTTCCACGTCAGACAGATAGTGGAGGTGCACTTTTCTTAGTAGACAGATACTCTGTTTTTTGATGGGTAGTTGCTCCTCCACATGACCCCAGTACTCAAGAGGTTGGGGTAGGAGGATCACCTTAAGTTTGATGCCAGCATGGACTTGCATCCAAAAAATAAGATCAACAATAAAAAAAAAACTCAAGATGGCATATTTGGATTTGGGGGTGCAGCTTCAGATACAGTGGTTCAGCTCAGCCTCAACAGCATGAAGTATCCCGAAATCTAGAGCAGACCTCATAACAAGCACAGCCGAGGGCCTGCCTCTGTTGCCTGAGCTGTCCAGTGGACAGCGGCCATGGAGAGTGTCCATTGCTGAAGGGAGTCCTTAGCAGAAGGCTGCTTCTGGTACCCAGCTCTGCTCACTCCTCTCCTCCTTCCCCCCAGGCACCTTCAAGATCCAGAAGACCCGGCTGCAGCGGGAAGGCTTTGACCCACGCCAGACATCAGACCGGCTCTTCTTCCTGGACATGAAGCAGGGCCGCTACCTGCCCCTGGACGAGGGAGTGCATGCCCGTATCTGTGCTGGAGACTTCTCACTCTAATGGCCCTGCGAGTGGAATGGGCCTGGACTCCTGAGCCCTGGGCACCACCTGACCAGCAGCTCTGGAGGGCATGAGAAACTGGAACCTGAGTGGCCAGGTGTCTCTTCCCCACATCCCACTGTGCATCCATCCGGCCTCCGCCTTTCTGTTTTTCTCCGTCTCTTCTCCCCACCCACCAGGAACCCAACAGACACATCCTGGCTGCTGTGTTCTGCACTGGGACCAGTGTCCAGTGGTCTAGACTGTAGCACCTACCTCCCTCACCATTGTGCCTTAGGAACCTGTCCTCAGCTCCCTGTGGAGCAGGTGGCCCATCCAGCTGACCCTCCCTGCTGAGGGTCTGTAGCTCAGTCCACGGTAGCTGGGCGACATTGGCACTCCCCCACTGACCCCCAGTCAACTGGAAATCTTATGTTTGTTTTGAGACAGTGTCTCACTGTTGAGGCCAATCAGGCCTCAAACCCGCCATCCTACTGCCTCTGCTAGTGAGTGCACCACCCTGCAGTCCAGTCTGAGAAGATAACATTTATGTACTATTGTCCCTAGGCCCCCACTTTCCCTCATGTCCTGGAAGCTTCCGGAACTGACTGACTACTTGGGTGTGACTAGTGATGGCCCTGACCCTAGCAAAGCTTGGGTGTCTTGTTTCACAGCAGGAGAGACCCAAGAAGACTGCTGTGGCGTTCTCTTGGGCAGACCTGGTGGCAGCCCTGGAAGTGCTTCCCTAGTGCAGACAGCCCAGACCCTGTTGCTTCTGGCTCCCACGTTCCCCATTGGGTCATCGGTGACTCAGCTCAGTCACCAAGCCAGGCTTCTGCCACATGATGGGTGTGAACAGCACAGCACCCACAAGCTGCCCGAGATCCTCCACACACAAATGTCATTTAAGAAATAAACATGCTGAGCCTTGTCACCTGCCAGAGCACAGCATCTCTGGTCTATCTCGACCTAGGTGCTTTCTGCAGGTCACACCCGAGCAAGCTGAGCAGGGCCCCACAGTGTCTGTCCTAGTTAGGGTTGCTGTGATGAGACCATGACCAAAGCAGCTTGGGGAGGAGAGGCAGAAACTCAAATGGGGCAGGAACTGATGCAGAGGCTGTGGAGGGGTGCTGCTTACTGGCTTGCTCCCCCTAGTTTATATTCAGCCTGCTTTTTTATAGAACCCAGTACCCCCTGCCCAGGGATGGCACCTCCCACATCAGCTAATCATCAGCCAATCTCTGGGGGCATTTTCTCAATTGAGGTCCCCTCCCCCAATGACTGGCTTGTGCCAAGTTGACACAAAAACTAGCCACCACAATCTTAAGAAAGTTAGAAAAAGTTGGGCATGTTGGTGCATGCCATTAATCCCAGTGCTCATGAGGCAGAAGCAGGCGGATCTCAGAGTTTGAAGCCAGCCTGGTCTACAGAGTGAGTTCCAGGACAGCCAGGGCTACACAGAGAGACTCTGTCTCAAAAGAGAAAACAAGAATGAGCATCACAAGTCTGATGGCTTGGTCCTGAGGCAGGACTGTGCAAGAGCAAAGGCTTATGTGGCTCAGTTCTGGAGACTGGAAGTACAAATACTTTTGCCACATTTTAGTTTCCAGATGCCCCATCTTTGAACACTGATGGGAGTAACTTCTCCATGTGCACATGTGTGTGTGTTACAGAGCTCATATAACAGTATCAGTTTTCTCTTTCCCTTGTGTGGTTCCTGGGGATGGAACTTAGGTTCAGGCTTGGTGGTAAGCATGTTTACTGGCTAAGGCATCTCAAAGGCCCCATCTCTTCTTAATATCAGCAGGGCTTCATGGGTTAAAATGCATGAATTAAGGGAAACCATTCTGACAGCAATAGGACCCTGGCCTCCAGGTCAGCATTTACAGACCAAGGGAGCTCCCAGAAGGTGTACCAAGCAGTCATTCAGTCTGTTTCTCTCCAGCTCCCGAGGATGCCCTATCCCTGGACCTTGGTGTCCCAGGGCAGGATGATGCATCTGTCTGTGGGTACCAGGAAGTACCAAGGTGGTGGAGGACAGGGCATGTGGGTAACGCAGCCTTCTGACCCCGAGCCCAGCCCTGGGGTGTGCACTGTTCCCTGTACATCTGACAAAGCAGCAGTGAAGTTGACAGCAGGCACAGCTAGCAAGAAAAGGGCCCAAGGGTGTGTGTGTTGTCTCAGTGCATGACACTGTTTGGACCTGTGTTCTAGAAGGAACATCCACTTCCAGCCAGCCAGGCTGCACAGTGAAGGGATAGGCAGTTGAGCAAGGACACGTGTCCTCAGCCCTTGGGAGACATTAGGGTGTAAAGTCCCTGGCAACCCTGATCCCACAATAACATCCCACTTTAAAGCAGCCAGAAGAAAACATGGACACCAATATTTTTTTAAAGCCTCAATTTTAAATTAGAAAAATAGCTAATTGCCCTTCCCACCTGAGAGGCACCCATTATTAACTCTCATGGAAGGACAGGCCTGTGAGCCAATCCACGGGATTCACACTGAGGGTTTCTTGGCACACTATCTCTTCCCTCCTCCTCCCCAGGAGATTTTCACAAAGCAGTACCCTGGCTAGGCTGTGCCCCCAGGCCCTCACTGGGGAATTCTTAAGCCCCTTCATCTTGCTTTTGAGCCATGTCTGGGTATTATCCAGGCTATTGTGGAACTAGACAATTCTCCTGGCACCACAGTGACGCTGGAAGACAGGAATCCTCTCAGCACTTGTGATGCTTTTATATGGGCATTCCATGCTGTCACCAGAACCGTGCAGCCGGTACAAACCCCTGTAAACACAAACTGATGTGTTCAGACATGCGGTTTGGAGTGAGTGTAGACACTTCAATTTGTCCACATCACTTCTGTGAATACCTGAGCTCAGGCTGTCTGGCTTTAGAGTGTCTTTACTTACTGAGCCATCTTGAACAATCTAAACCCCCTCAACCTCCATCAGGGCAGGCTCTCATTATATAGTCCTGGCTGGCCTGCAACTCACTATGTAGACTAGGCTGGCCTCGAATTCAGAGACCTGACAGCCTGTTTCCTTAGTGCTGGGATTAGAGGTGTGTGTCACCGCATCTGGCCTAAATATTTTTAAAATGTACTTACACACCAGGAGTGGAATTCATGCCTTTAGTCCCAGTACTCAGGAGGCAGAGGCAGGTGGATCTCTGCCAGTTCGTGGCCAGCCTGGTCTATATACCAAGTTCTAGGACAGCCAGGTCCACACTGAGAAATCTTGTCTTTGGAAACCAAACCAAAACGAAAAACATTTACTTGCAATGTTTCATGGAGTGTAACCTGCCACTTGTATTCTCACACTGGCACTCAGAAAGCGGTAGGTTTGAGTATGGGGTACACCCAAGTGGTCCAGCCTGGGCTCAGCATGCATGGGCCCCTGGAATGAGGTTTCCCGAGTTCAGCAGTGTTAGGCTCACACAGCACCAGGCACTCCTCTGGTTGCTAGGCTCAGTGCTTAAGAGCACTGATCGACTTCCCACCACCCACACTGAGGTCCACAGGTCAAACTCAGTCTGGGGTATCCCATGCCCTTTCCTGGCCTCTGCAAGCACGTGCTACAGTACACCCGTGTACACATAAAAAGTAAGTAAAAACAGAGGGGGAAATAGAGAAGGGTTATGTGGGTCTTCCTGGTGGAAGCAGCTGGGGTCACCTCCAATATTCACACCCTGGCTGATCTACTTGGGTCAATGATCTTAACAGTCTCAAAGGTTTCCGTATTTCCCAAAATAGAACGAGCAGCTGGGAGACACCTGTTCACGCGCACGAGTGGGGGCAGTTTCACATCCAAAAGCAACAGGATGTTCAGAACTGTCCTGCGGAGTTCTCTCTTCGGCGGGCAGCTGTGGGCTGAGGGCCACAAACCACAGCACCTGCTAGGTTTAACCAGAAAGGCGAGTCTGGCCAGGACCGGAAAGTAGGGAGGGCCGGACAGGTGCGCCGACGTCTGGGTATGTGGAATAGAATCCCACTCCTTAGCCCAACCTGGCGTCGAACTCACTCACAGCCAGCCTCCTGCCCTGGTCACCGAGTGCAGGTGCGACTCTGTGATGCAGAAGTTGGCCCACTCTGTGCAGCTGCACGCCAGTCACCGCGCACTCCGACCGGGGAAGGACAATCGGTGCCACCAAGGCGTGCCCCGCCCACCACCCCAGAGCCCGGAGTGCACTGGGGTTCCCGGAACAGCCGGCCCGGCCCGGGCGAGGCATCATCTGCGCATGCGCCCAGAGCCCAGGCTCAAAGCTCTGGGACCCAGGGTAGTTCGGCCATCGCGCAGGCGCACTGGCGGCTTCCCCGCTGCAGCCATGGCCGCGTCCGCGCCTGGTCTCATCTCGGTCTTCTCCAGCCCGCAAGAGTTGGGCGCGTCGCTGGCGCAGCTGGTAGCGCAGCGGGCCGCGAGCTGCCTGGAAGGGAACCGTGGCCGCTTCGCGCTCGGCCTGTCGGGCGGCAGCCTGGTCTCCATGCTGGCCCGGGATCTGCCCGCCGCCGTCGCTCCCGCCGGGCCCGACAGCTTCGCGCGCTGGACGCTCGGCTTCTGCGACGAGCGCCTCGTGCCCTTCGAGCACGCCGAGAGCACGTACGGCCTCTACCGGGTGAGCGTTGCGGGGACGCGCACTGCCCGGCTACGGCGGCCGTCGCGGGCCACGCGGAGCCGGTCCCGTCCGCTGAGGAAGTGCGGACTACGGGGGCCGCCGCGGGCCACGTCTAGCCGGCTCCGCCTGCTGAGGAAATGCCCAGGAGCTGCTTCAACGCCTACGCGCGGGCTACGGGTCGCCCTGGGTCTTGCGGAATGTGCAGTGACGTCCACCCAAGCCTGGCCTGAAGGGCCCCCGCCAGCCCGCATCTTCCAGAGGGCTGCGTCCCGGCTATGGGGCCTTGCAGGCCGTGGCTGTTGGTGCGCTCACCCTGCGTCTGGTGTCCAGGGTGTGTTGGGCCTCAGTTTCCTCATCTCTAACATGAGCAGCCTGGGATCTGACGGCCACCTGGCCCCTTATAGGGTTCAGAGCGCCCTGATTCACACACAGGGAAACTGAGGCATGGAAGACTGAGCTCTGAGCACCCCTGGGTGTCTGCCACTGCCCCCTTGGGGAGGATCGCCCACTGTCATTGACCTAGAGGCAGGGGCCACCACACTCACTTCAAGGTGGGGAAACAGACCAGAAGATGCAGGTCTCTCATTTAGGGCCTCAGTTTTGAAATGCATGACTTTGAACGCAGTGCCTGCCCAAGAACTTCATTGGATGGTGGGCTGTGGGTACTGAGCTCAAGGCTCAGTTGGTAGAGTGATTGTCTAAAATACACAGGGTCCTGGGTTCCATCTGAACGTCCTATAAACCAAGCACGATAGTGCACACCTGTACTCCCAGCACTGGGAGCTAGAGCCAGGAGGATGGAGGCCAGCCTATGCTAAATGAGCCCATTTTGATGCTACCCATGTAAGAAAGGATCGCTAAGTAGGTCCCTCTGTCTTTGATCAAGGCAACCCAGAGACACAGGATTTCACCAGCAGGCAGATGGAGTCTGTTGATTTGGTGTTAGGGTTCCGTAGGTGGTCCTGACACAATGAGGGTGTCTTGCCCGGAGGCTGCCTGGTCCAGCTCTGCCTTCCTGTTTCACACACCTTCCTGTGGCCTTCAGCCTGGAGCCTGTGCTCATCTCGTCCCCATTCAGGGCCCTTAGCGTCCTGAACTCTGGCTGGTACAGCATCACCACTCTCCCCATCTGCCTAGGGTACCTGGCGTTTTGCCATTCGCTGCAAGCCTCTACCTGCTCCACTAAGCTGGACATGGAGACACAGGCTAGGCGGTGCCCAGTTCTCCAAGGCCCTGGAAGTCAATGAGGACCGTCTTCCCAGGGGCCCACCAGGTGCCAGCTGCATGCTCGATGCAGCCAAGCTTGGTCCCTAAGATAGGGAGCCCCAGGCAGCCTGGGGAGTCAGCCAGGCGGTGGAGCAGAGCCCAGTGTGAGTGACACAGGGTTTCTAGCTTTAGACAAGCCCCTGTCTGGACAGTACTGTGCCAGGCACTTGATGCTGCTGTCGGGTCACTCGCTGACTGTCCCTTCCTCTTCCACAGACACACCTGCTCTCAAAGCTGCTCATCCCAGACAGCCAGGTCCTCACTGTCAATCCTGCCTTGCCCGTGGAGGACGCTGCAGAGGACTATGCCGGGAAGCTGAGGCAGGTGGGTCCCAGAACAGGTGGAGAAGCCGTAGAAGACTTGGGGACACAAGCTGTGGCTCTGAGGGGGTGACCAGTTGCAGGGAGACTCGGGCTGGGGTCTCACATCTTCAGACCCCAGGTTCCTGGTCATTGAAAGGGAAATTGAGTCTGGATCAAAATAGTGTGATAGCATGTCTGTGACCCAGCACTTGGGCTGAGGCAGGAGCCTGGCCAGATGTCAGACCAGCCTGAGGGTGACTCTCAACTCAAACACCACAGCCCTCATGCCATGCCAGAGCTGCCCAGTGCCAGGTGGTCACTTACTCTGTAGAGAATGTGATGCTCTTGCTGAGGAACCCAGACATGGAAACCTGGCTCCAGCTTCCTTCTGTGTGACCTCTGAGCCCTGCACACACCACCATCTTCCCCTTCAGGCCTTCCAAGGAGACACTGTCCCCGTGTTTGACCTGCTGATCCTGGGGGTGGGCCCTGACGGCCACACATGCTCGCTCTTCCCTGGTCATCCCCTCCTACAGGTGAGCATGGGGATTCTCTCCCAGCCCTGACCTGCTGAGCCTCAGACTCCTTGGACATGGTGGCAAATGCCTGTCATCCCAGCACTTGGGAAGGGGCACGAAGCTCGCAGTGAAGTTGAGGGCAGCCTGGGTCACAGAGTAAGAACTCAAAGGATTATCAAAGGAAGACCTGCCGACACTGTACACTTGGTGCCTGGGTGGGGTTGGCGAGTTCAGGTTCCGTCCACAGATACAGCGCAAGGGTAGGCATGACCTATCCCCATTGGCCTTCCTCCCCCAGGAGCAAGAGAAGATTGTGGCTCCCATCAGTGACTCCCCAAAACCACCACCGCAGAGGGTGACCCTGACGCTCCCTGTGCTGAATGCAGCCCAGAGTATCATCTTCGTGGCCACAGGGGAAGGCAAGGCAGCTGTGCTGAAGGTAAGGGGTGGGCACGGGAGGACACGGGGGATCACGGGGCTGACACGGGGGATCACGGGGCGGACACAGGGGATCATGGGGCAGACACGGGGGATCACGGGGCAGACACGGGGGATCATGGCGGTCACAGATGATCAGAGGGCAGTCATGGGAGGTCAGAAGGGCGGTCATGGGAGGTCAGAAGGGCAGTCATGGGAGGTCAGAAGGGCGGTCATGGGAGGTCAGAAGGGTGGTCACGGGATGGAATATGAGAGGGGAGTCTGCAGAGATGACAGGCCCTGCTCCCAAGTGACTGCTGGTGTGGCCATTTGTGTCTCTAGCCCCTTTTGGGGACAGGATGCCCAAGACTTGATGGCTGCTGGCCTAGCTCCAGGCTCAGTGAGGGACCCCGTACAAGGGAATAAGGTACAGGGTGATAGAGAGGGACACCAAACACATTTAAAATAATAATAATAATAATAAAGCCTGGGATGGAAAGGTGGCACATGGAGTGGTGAGGACCTGCTGCCCTTCCTGAAGACTCAGGTTCGATTCACAGCACCAATATGGCAGGTCACAACCACCTGTAGCGCTAGTCCAGGGGTTCAGGTGCCTTCTTCTGGCCTCTGGGGCACCAGGCATTCACATGGTGCACATACACGCAGGAAAAGCACCCACATACAAAAAGAAAAAAAAAGGGGGTAAGACGGCTTAGTGGGTAAATGGGCTTGCCACCAAACTTAAGTTCAGACTTTGAGTTCTCAGACAACCTGAGTTCAGTTCCCAGCACCACATGTTGTCCCCATACTGGGGAGGCAGAAAGAGGAGGACCATCCTTGCTACATAGCAAGTTCAAGGCCTGCCTGGGCTACATGACGCCCTGCCTCCTCCTAATAGAACAGCAAACAAACCTGTTCCACGGAGCTTTAGAACCCGCGGGTGCCTGTCCCTACATCCAAACAGATCCCAGTCCGCCCCCTCTGTCCGCGCTGGGGTCTGAGGTGGGTCCCGGGTCTCTCACACAGCGCATCCTGGAGGACAAAGACAGCTCGCTGCCCGCCACCATGGTGCAGCCGCGCACGGGCGCCCTCTGCTGGTTCCTGGACGAGGCGGCCGCACGATTGCTGTCGGTGCCCTTCGAGAAGCATTCCACGCTGTAGCGCGGGGTACACACGCGTGGGCACTTTGGGGCTGGCCCCCGGCCTCTGCCCCGGGCTTTCTGGAAAAGCCTCCAGGGGCCGCGGGAGCGAGCCAACTGAGAATTAAACGGAGCGTTCTGGAACTCTGGTCCCTGTGGTTTTTGGTGGCGGAGGGTGGGGCCAGGCAGTGCGCTGGGTGCGGCTGACAGCACATGGGGCCTCAGAGAAATGTGGAGTCTGGGCTTCTGGCCCCGCAGTGCACACATCAGAATGAAGAAAGGGTCGTTTTCAGTTCCAAGCGCAGGACTGGCTCACGGGTACCTCGTGGCTGCTTGTGTTCCAGCCGTGTGACCACTATGGTAGACGGGAGATAGGCTGAGGGAACATGCCAGGGTTCACCTGGCACCCCAGCCAGTGCCTCAGTCTCCCTGCAGGCCTGCTCAGAGCCTTGAGCTTCCCTTGATGATGCCGCAGAGTCACGTAACAACGAGAGAAGTATCTGAGGTGACTGTTGGGATGTCCCCTTAGACAGTTTCTCCCCACCTCCTCTTACAGAAGCAGAAATGTGGGCATAACGGCTGGAGCTTTAGCAGCCTCCGTGTGCATGAAATGGATGTGTACATCAATGGCCTGATGTGCCCTGAGCCCTCCCAGTCCTGGGGACCTAGTTGGGGAGGCTGGTGGGCCTGGATGAGTGTGGGGTTCTGAGGGGCATCCCCGGGAAGGTCACACAAGCCAGGCCTGAGGCGGGAATTGAAACCTCCCTGAGCTAACTTGGCATGGAACCACAGAGGTGAAGTTTCTGTTGGTGTGCGGTCCCTGAGGACTCCTCGGCTGTGACAATGAGGAAGTGGGGCAGGCCGGGAAGAAAGCTGCCCTGCTGGGGACTTCTGACAGCCAAGGGCACAAGCTGAGACCGTTGAAAGGAAAGTGACGTGTGGGCGTGAGGACCCCGTGTGAGCAGCCCTGCGGGACATTACTGTTGCCCATCCCTGTCTCAAGGGGACATCTCTGCTGTGCCCATACACTGCGGCATAGGTTCTGCCCCATACTCCAAGGCGACTGCTAATGTTCCGTCTGCCGTGCCCGCGTTCTAGCCTCCGGAAAGGGAAGAAAATAAAATTGCTTAAGGGGTCATCTTCCCTCGTGGGCAGATGGGGGTTGTTTTCCACACATTGACAGCCCGTGCCTCAGGCCGTTCATTTGTTCAGTCAGCTGTCTGTTTCTTTTGTAGACAGGACTTCATGTAGCCCAGGCTGGCCTGCAGGACCTAAACTCCTGATCCCCCTGCCTCTGCTTTCTGAGTGCTGGGATGGCAGAGATGTGCCGCCCCACCCTGGCCACCTGTGCCAGGGCTTTGTTTTTCCCACACTGCTTTGGTTTCCCCTGGGGCGGTCCCCACTGTCCCCCACAGAAACCCTCAGTCCTGGTCCAGCCTGTCCCCAGGGGCAGGAGGAGGCAGGTGCAGACAGGAAGGGGCAGAGGGTTGTACTGGTGGCACTACCCTCCTGGAACTTGGGACACTCAGCACCCTGAGCAGTGGGACCCAGGATAGCTCCACACAGCGACAGGATGGGGGTGCGGCCCTCCAGCCCCCTGGACAAGCGGCAGCAGCAGCAGCTGAGGGGTGAGCAGAGGGGTCCCGCTGCAGCGGGAGGCCACACTGGCATGGCTCCTGGCACCAAACGTCTTGTTGTCACCGTCCTGCCTTGGGTTGGAAAAGTCCAGGGTTTTTTTTTTGTTGTTGTTGTTGTTGAATGTTTCATGACAGGGTTTCTCTCTGTAGACCAGGCTGGCCTGGAAGTTGTTCTGTAGACCTTAGCCTCAAACTCAGAGATCTGCCTGCCTCTGTGTCCCATGGGCCAGGATTAAAGATGTGCATCACCCCTGCCTGGCTTTGGAAGATTCCAGATGTAAGTGAAGCTCGAGTAGCTGAGGGTAGTGGCACAGGCCTGTCATCCTAGCACTCGGGAGACAGATCTCTGAGTTCGAGGCCAGCCTGGACTGAACAGTGAGTTCCAGGGCAGCTGTTGCTACATGTGACCCTGTCTGAAAAGAAAATGAAACGTGAGATGTGACATGTTTTATTTGTTAGGGGACTCGAGGGCCCACTGAGGGCGGGGGTCCTCATGGCTGGGAGGCCTGGCTGCATGAACTGGCACTGAGACTCCCTGTACTGTCCTCTGCTGGTCCTTGGAGAGTGGGGCTGGACAATCGAACAGGATTTGGTGGCTGTCCCCCAAGGGGAGGTGGCTAGGCCAGGTTGGAAGAGGGTGTGCAGTTGGCAATGAGTATGGGAATAGCACTGGGGAAGGGGAACAGCGCATGCAAAGTCCCAACACTGACTGCTACCTGCATTTGCTGTGTGCTGTTGGGCAAGTGAATCCCCCTCTCTGGGCCTCATTCTCCGAGGCACAATATCCTTGGATGGAGATACTTTGTGTGTGTGTGTGTGTATGTGTGTGTGTGTGTGTGTGTGTATGTGTTGTCCTCTTAGGCTTCCTCCCACCACATTCATTGAGGCAGGGTCTCGCCTGTGCCAGGGTTGGCCAGCTTGGCCTGAGATGACAGGCTGGTCCCCTGGCCACAGTGTTGGTCCCTTCTCCCCCACAGGTCAGGTGGACGGCCTGCTAAGGGCCTTCCTGCCCTGTTACCGCAGGCAGCTGGCGGCAGCCATGCTGAGGCAGATCTCCAGAGAACTGGAACCCCAGGAGCCAGCCGGATGCCAGCTTTCCCACACCAAAGTGCGTGTCACTGAGGATGGGGCTCCCTGCCAGGCACCAGCTGTGGTTGTGTCCCTCTCTGAGTTCGGTGACATGAGACTGGGGACATGGAGCTGGGGAGGTGGAGGCAGGCAGAGGAGGCCTGGAGAAGGGTGTTCCCTGCGGGGGTCACGTGTGCAGAGGCCCTGAGGTGGGCAAGCCTGGGAAGAAGCCAGGGGGCAGGGCTGCTTCTGCGTGTGTCTGCCCTGCTATTGCAAGCACAGCACCAGGAAGACACTCCTTGATAGGACCCCTTTGTCCCTCTGACCCTGCTCTTGGCACTTCAGGGATTGTAAGATCAGACAGCCTGGAACTGTAGCCACTGAGACTCCCCCCATGGCCTCCTTCTGTCCCCTACCCTGGCATAGTCAGGACCCACAGAGGTAGAGCGAGCTCCTGCAGGCCACATGGCACAGTGACCAGAACCTGAGGTTCCCCGGCGGCTCCCTTCCCTCCCTGCTGTGGGGAGGCTCTGTGGGCAGAGGTCACAGCTTGGGACTCTCCCTGTCCCTTGCAGGGCATCCTCATACCTGCTACAGTTCAGTTCAAATTTGCAGTGTGTCTGAGGCTGACCTTGAACTCCTGACCTTCCTGCCTCAGCCTTCTGGTGCTGGGCTGACAGGCTGACAGGTTCTGATGGCAGCTGCTGCCTAAAGCCTTGGAGGGTGGTGGGTATGTGTGACCAAACCTACGTGACAAGTTTTCCTTTGGGTCTCTGTAGCCCAGGCTGCCTATAGACTGACTACTTGGGGGAACTGAGGAAGGAGGGTCACTAGGACCAGGCAGTTGGTGGTTTTCCTAGGGTACCAGAGTCAGATCTTGTCCCAGTTAACCAATTAAATGGTTTTTTTTTTTAAAGAAGAAGCTGAGTGCCCTGCTTTTGGTGGGAACTGAAACTTGGGCACAGTTCAGGGAACCCTAAATCCTGCTCTAGAGCCAACGACAGCTGGCATCCCTTTGCAGAAGCTGCCTAGAGTCCGGGAGCACCAAGGACCCTTGACCCTGCTGTGGGGCCACCCGCCACAATGGCAACCCACCTTCTGTGTCCTGCGTGGGGATGGACGCCTGGAATGGTTTAGCCGAAAGGAGGTGAGACGACCAGAACTGCAACCTGGGATAGTGTAGGGACTGGCAGCGTGGCTCAGGGGTGGAGCCCCTGCCTAGAATCCCCCAGTGAGGGGCTGGGGCGTGGTTCAGAGGTGGAGCCTCTGCCTAGGATCTCCCAATGAGGAAATGGGGGCGTGGCTCAGGGTTGGAGCCCCTGCCTAGAATCCCCAGTGAGGGCTGGGGGCGTGGCTCAGTGGCAGAGCGCTGGTCAGTAATATGCTAAGATCCTGAGTTGCTCATTGCCCAGAGAGGTAGGGAGTGCTTTGGGAGTTTGCCGACTTGCCTCTCCTGGGGAACCTCAGTGTGGTCTCATGTCTTTGGTCACAGGAGTATGAGTCTGGGGGCCGTACCCTGGGCTCCACAGCCCTGACAGGGTACACACTGCTCACTTCCCAACGTGAATACCTGTGCCTTTTGGATGACCTCTGCCCAAGCTCCTCTGGTAAGGATTCCTGGGTTCCCTTAGTTTTCCTTCCTCCGCGTCCTGTGGCCATCCCACCCCCTGTGCACTTGGTGAAGTTGACTTGGTTCTCCTCTGTCTAGTAACAGAAGCAACTTCCTGCCCACAGTGTGACTTGCAGTGTCTACAGATGTTACAGTTGTCCCTTGGTGGATGAATTGTTGATCCTTGAGCAAGAACTCTTGCTCTGTGAAGGAAAAGTGCCACCCACTGTCCCTGGGAGGACACCAGTAAAGCCAATGGAACAAAACCCGAATAGCTAAGAGTCTAAGGAACAACGAAAGTAACGCTGGTGGCACACGCCTTTACTCCCAGCACTCGGGAGGCAGAGGATGGAAGAGCTCTGAGTTCAGGGCCAGCCTGCTCTATAGAATATGTTTCAGGACAGGCAGGGCTGTTTTACAGAAACCTTGTCTTGGAAAACAAACAAACAAAAAACAAAATTTTTAAAAAAAGTAACAAAGCAATACAAAAAAACGGGGCTGGAAAGATGGCTCAGTGAATCAGAGTTAGATTCCCAGCACCCACTCAGGCTGTTCACAACTGCCTGGAACTCCAGCTCCAGGGCATCTGGCACCTCTGACCTCAAGCACCTACACACACATAAACAAACACATACAGATGGTTAAATATAATTTTTTTTTAAAAAACCATAAAACCCAGTGTCAGTAAACATGCAAGGAGACAGACATAGTGGGAAGCAGTGTGCAGGCTTGGGGCATGGTGCACAGACCGTCAGATGGGGTCCTGGGTTTCGAGTTTCTCCTTCTCTGTTCCCGTTCACCTGTTCCACAACGATAGAGTTCATCTTGCCGGGCGCATGTAGTACTAGGGCTTCTGCTGTGTTTAATCTTTGAGACAGCTTTTGCTCTAAAGCCCCAGTTGGCCCCGAAGTCACACCAGTTCTTTCAGGCTGCTGTCTTGCTTTCAGGAGACCTCGCCCAGGAGGAACCGCTGAGGGTGCTGGAGGAGCCAGTGAACTTCCCGCTCTTCCTCGTGCACCCGTTCCGGGCCCACCTCTGCTTCTGTGCACACACGAGGGGGGCGCAGCGCGCCTGGAGGCTCGGCCTGCAGGGTGCCATCCGGCTGAGAGCCACCGGTGCGTTCCAGGGCGCAGGTGGGGCGCGAGAGGACGATGGGTGTAGGTGCGGGGTTCCCTGGGGAGGGTTGGAGCACAGTGCCCGGCTAAAGGCATCTTCAGTCCTGCAGCGCAGCCGGGCGCCGGCGGCCTGTGCCTTCCTGGACACCGTGCAGCTCTATCGACGACGTCGGGGCTTTGCCGGTGGTGACGACGCAACACTGGGCTCTGATGCGGAGGTGAGCGGTGTCCCTCAGGCCCGGGCAGGTTCCACCACCCGTCGCACACTACACCCCCATGCTTCCCCTATAGGTGCTGAGCGCCGAGCTGATGCGGGAGCTGTTACCTGCTCTACGCGCACAGACGCTACGGAGCCTGCGCAGCACTGGACGCGCCCGGGCCCGGGCCTGCTCGGAGGTGCGGAGTGGGCGTGGCGGGGGGGGAGGGGGAGAGAAGGGAGTCTCACGTGCTCGCCCACACCGCCCTCGACTCTGCAGTTCCTCGACGCTGTGCACGCGGCCGTCCTGGCCAGGGTATCTGCAGGGCTGCGTGCCTTCCAGCCGGAAAAGGATGCACTGCTAGCGAAGCTGGAGAGGACGGTGCGAGCAGAACTCGAGCAGATCCTGCAGCAGCGAGCGCAAAGGGCTCGGAGACTAGAAGGTGGGGGGCGGGCTGGGTAATGGGCCGGGTGAGAGGTGGGGGAGGCCGCATGGTTGGTGGTGTTGGGCGAGAGGCTAGGAGTGAGAGTGGATCCAGGAGAGCTAGGGCGGGGCCACGGAGCGAGGGGAGGGGCCTGGGAGTGATGGAGTAGGAGGATGAAGGGCGGGGTCAGAAAATGTAGGGGCGGGGGCTGCGGGAACGGGTGTGGAGCTTCAGGAGTTGGGCCTGCTAGTAATAGTGGGGGTAGGTCGTATGGAGCTGAATCGGTGGAGCTAGCCTGTTGGATGGCAATTTGCTAAAAGGGGTGGGGTCTTGCCGGCGGAAGGCGGGGCCTAATAGGGGTGGCACGGGCCCTGAGAAATAGACTTGTGAAAGGGAAGCAGCTGTTGAGGATTAGAGTCTGACGCTGGATTCTAGCCAGAAGGCAGTGGATGAGAAGACGAAGCCTAGAGCCTGGGGAGACCCCGGCCTATTAAATTGTGGGCTAGGTAGGGACACACGAGGTAGCAGTGGCCTTGCGGGGTCTCCTTTGAAACACACTGAGCTTCTTCAGCCTGTGCCTTTGGGCCAGGTCTCACTGCTCCTAGTTTCAGTGTCCTCAGCTGTAAAATGGGTACCCAGCTGTCCAGGCTGAGGTCCCTGCTCCTCCTGCATCTACTGAGTGCCTGGTGGAGAAAACTCCTGGTCCACATTTCCCCTCAGCGGAGATCCGGGACCCCCTAGAGGCTTGCCTGTGCCGCATGGTGGACCCGCAACTGCCCCAGATTATCCATGCGCTGCTAAGCCTTGTGGAAGCCACACTCCAAGCCGTTCGGACTCTCCTCATCCGGGGCATGGACCGGCTGTCTCACCACCTGCGCAAGAACCCTTCTGGCACGCGGCTGCGCAGGGAGGTTAGCATGTGAGCGACAGGGACACGCCCACCTTGAGCTGTCAGTATCGTAAACCAATGATGTTTTCTCATCTGACTGGTATTCATATGTACGTAGGTTTATGAATTTGGGGAGATACCTTGGGACCCAGAGCTAATGCAAGCCTGTTATCGGGAAGCAGAGAGGAACCGAAGCCATCTGGCCCAGCTGGCAGAACCATTTGGCTTCCTGGGGATGCAGAGCCTGGTGTTTGGGGCCCAAGATCTTGCGCAACAGGTGAGGAGAGAGAATGGGAAGTCCATGTTGGGGATCCCTAGGAGAGGGAGAGTGCATTTATGAAGAAGGAATGGGCCACGCTGGTAGACAGGCAGAGCCTGGAGCGAATGCGAGTCTGCAGTGGGCAGTAGGGAACCTCAGCAGGTGTGGGAGCAAAGGCAGGAGCTTAGCTGGACCCAAGGTTTAGAAAACCCTCTCTGCTGTTAGGAGTTCTATCTATAAAGGCAAGAGGGGGAGGCTGGAAGCCCTGATCCAGATGGAGGTGTGATGGTGCCCACCTGGCCCAGCACTTGGGTGGGGGAAGCAGGAGGATCAGGATGCCAGGGTCGTCCCCAGCTTCACAATGAGTTTGAGACCAGTGTAGGTTATGCTAGGCCCTATCTAAAACAGAAAGAAAGACGAGTTTTTGTAGACAGAGTTTCCCTGTGTCCTTAATAACCACTCAGAGACTTCTTATTAATTATAAATGCTTGACCAATAGCTCGGGCTTGTTACTAGCTAACTCTTACATTTTAAATTAATCATGGCCAGGCAGTGCTGGTGCACACCTTTAACCCCAGCACTCAGGAGGCAGAGACAGGTGGATCTCTGTGAGTTTGAGGCCTTGTCTACAGAGTGAGTTCCAGGACAGGTTTCAAAGCTGCAGAGAAACCCTGTCTCGAAAAACCAAAATTAATTAATTAATTAATCCATGTTGCTTACCTATTCTCTGCCCTGTAGTGCTACCTTCTTTCAACATGGCATGCTCATCTTTCTTTTCTCTGTGTCTCCTCACGACCCTCAGACTTTGCCCTTCTTCCCAGCCTTCTCTCTGCCCCCAAAATACTGCCTAGTTATCAGCCAATCAGTTTTTTATTAAACCAACTCAAGTGACAACTCTTCACAGTGTGCAAAAGGATTATGCTACAGCATGTTTCAGAAGGCAGTGATAGGGCATGGGCATAGGAGGAACAGCTTGTGGCTAATCCGTTGGCGCCTGGCACACTGCACAAGAGTGCTCCCCAGAGTGCGCCCCAGGGGGGCTGGAGATCTTGAGGCTAGAGCCCAGGGGACAGCGCCTGGTCCAGGCTGCTGGGGAAATGTTGGGCATTAGACACCTGAGCCAGAGCAGAGGTCCTGGGTATGGGATCATCCGGGCTCCTCCTTCACAGCTCATGGCAGCTGCAGTCACCACCTTCCTGCAGCTGGCCGACAAGTGTCTGACATCAACTCTGGACTGCGACCAGGCAGCTGAGCAGCTGGAGAAAGTCAGGGGCCTTGTGCTGAAGGTGAGGTGAGTGGGTGGGTGGGGGCCGTGGCCTAGAGTACTGCAGGCTGCTGCACAGGCTGGTTGTGTTCTCTGCAGAAGCTCACCTCGGACAGTGAGACCAGTCGGTGGAGGTTCACCCGGGACTGGCTGCTGGGAATCTTCTGGCCCTTTGTGTGGAGCCAGCTTGGGGTGAGCTATAACTCGGTGAGTGGACACCTGAGCTCTCCATCTGAAGGGGACAGAGTGCTCACTCTTGCCTGAAGCCACTGGAGGTTGGAGATCCCACCTCTGCTCCCCAGGCTGGGTGTACGGGGGCACTTCTGGCCTTGACAAAGCCCCTTGCATCTTGGTTCATCCCTAATTTTTGCTGACCACACACTCCCGGAGTTTGATCCTGGTGGTGCAGAGCGGGTGTGGGCTCCATGGGTCGAGGTTTATAGGGAGAACTGCCTGTGCTAAGGTCTTGAGGTTGGACTGGGCCTTGTGTGTTAAGGACCAGAGAGGAGGGGGCTGGAGAGATGGCTCAAAGGTTGAGAGTACTGGCTGTTTTTCCAGAGGTCATGAGTTCAATTCCCACAACCACATGATGGCTCACAACCATCTGTAATTAGATCTGGTGCCCTCTTCTGGCCTGAAGGCATACATGCAGCCAGAACATTGTATACATAATAAATAAATATTTTTTAAAAAAAGGTCCGGAGAGGAGTCATCCAGGGTGATGGTGAGGGAAGAAGCAGGCAGAAGGGTGTGGGTGGGGAGGACCCAGCCTTCTGGCTAGCTGAAGGTCGGGACCCAAAGCATGGCTGTGACTAGATGCTAGCAGGACCCTTCAGAGGAAGCAATGGTGGCTAGGTCCCAGCTGAGACACTTGGGAGGTAGGAAGCCTGTGTGGGACATAGTCCATTTCTGACACTGGGACACACGTTACAGCATGTGGGTCCTGAATCCAGCCAAGCTCCTGTCTGTGGTCCTAGGAACAGCCTGAGGTGGATGGGGACATCTTGGCCGTGGGCTCCCAGGCTCTGACCACTGAGGGTGTCTGCAGGGACGTCATCCAGGGCCTCCTTCTGCAGAGAGTTGACAGAGGTGAGTCTCCCGGCTGTGGCTCAGCCCCTGCAGACGCTAGCACAGGACTGGGTGGGCCTCCTTGAAAGGGGCACTGGAGTGAGGTGCTCAGGGATATTGGAGTTCTCGGGACTGATGAGAGAGAGGCAGTTGTCCCTGGTACTAGAGGGTTGGGCTGGGGTCCACTCGGGAGATCTCAGAAGCTCATAAAATCTCCAAAGATGGCAGAGGGAAGAGGGACCCAGAAGGTAAGACAAGTGGCTGGAACCCAGAGATGATGGCATCACAGGGAACCAGGGAACAGACTAAGACTGTGTCCTTGATGTGTGGCCAAATAAGAAAATGGAGCAGAGGCGGTGATGTAGGTCTGCCATCCAAGCAACCCTCCTGCCTCAGCATCCTGAGTGCCTGAGCCTACATGCCTAGGAAAGTGGAATATTTTTTAATGATTTATTTATTTTATGTGCAGCGGTGTTTTGCCTGCATGTCTATCTGTGAGGGTGTCAGATCCCCTGGAGCTGGAGTCACAGATGGTGTGAGCTGCCATGTGGGTGCTGGGAACTGAACCCGGATCCCCTGGAAAAGCTTTCAACCACTGAGCCATCTACTTCCAAGAGTAGAAGGTTTAAATGACTGTAAACTAAGTCTAGAAATGGGGACCTGGATGAGCTTCTGACCCTAGACCTTATATACATCCTTAGGAGAGTTCCACCTGCCATTGCTCTGTGATGTCTGCACAGAGCAGCAGTTGGGAGGGGCTCCTGGCTAGGTGGAGAGCAGCTGTTGATTAGCCATGTCTGCATTGCCTATAGCATAGAAAGAGGATGGGAAGGCTAAAGCTGCCTTCCTCAGATGGATCCAGGGTTATCCCTTAATTCTAGAGTTGAACAAAATCCTTGGTGCCAGCGACAGAACCCGCTCTCCAGCAGAGGACCAGGAAAGAGCACGTGAGTACCTCACAAGTCCTGTGCCACGACCAGGGGTGTGCAAGAGTAGTGTGGAGCAGGATGGACTTCATCTGAAGTGACCATGTTGAACGGTGGAGAAGCCATGGGTTGTAACACACAAGGGCCGAGATGGCAACAGGCTTGTGTTCCTGCCAAGACACAGTGGGGGGTTTTGCCAGTTACTTTCTGCTATCAACACAGGGAGGGGAGATAGTGATAGTCTGCAAAGGCACTGCCAGGGGAAAGCCTGACTCATTTGTCACACAGTGACAGCTAACACAGGTACTCTGTAATGGGCTCACTTGTTACATAGTCACAGCTAACTCAGATACTCTGACTTGGATGTGGGCCTGCTTAATTTCCACAGCCATGCATTCGCATAAAGGGAATATAGCAGAAAGACGGTTGTGTGGTCAGGCTTACATACAGGGAGCCTGAGTGTCCCTCCACCTGCCACATATGCCGGGGGTGGACCTGAGCCCATCCCGTCCGTGCACTTACAGCCTTATGGGTGAATCCCCATGGACTCTCTGGGCGTGGAGAAGCAAGCTGGCATTTCCGCAGGGCTCTTCTGCCTGGTCCGTCCGCTGTGTTGTGTTCCACGGCTAGTCAGTTCCTTTAGCTTTGTGAGCCCTGCTCCCTTGCTCCAGCCCCCTTATTTGTGGACCCCCAGGCCCCACCTCCAGCTTGTGACATGTGACATTGGGATCCAGGTGATGGTCATCATTTCTACAGATGAAGGAGCTGAGACTCAGGTCTGAGACAGAAGAGATCTACTCTGGTGGCCAAATTCAGCCACTCTGCCCACCATTGCTTCCAAGAACAACCAGAGCTGTCTTCACCCATGCCCATCCTGGATGAAGACCCAAGTGTGTGAGCTGCACAGAACAAAGCACCACAGACTGTGTGTTCCTGCTAGAATTTTTACACTCAAGTTCTGAACTAGCCTGGGCTACTATAATATGACATTGTATTAAAAATACCCCAAAACTTGTTGGTTTAACACATATAATCCCATTAATTTCACATTTTATTATTTTTTACTTTAAAATCTGTACTTTTTTTAGTTTTTTTTCGAGATGTACACACAGACAGAAAATTGTATACATAATAAATAAATAAATATTTTTAAAAGATTTATTTATTTATTATGTATACAGTATTCTCAGTACTCTGCCTGCATGTATGCCTGCAGGCCAGAAGAGGACACCAGATCTCATTACAGATGGTTGTGAGCCACCATGTGGTTGCTGGGAACTGAACTCAGGACCTTTAGGAAGAGCACACAGTGCTCTTAACTGCTGAGTCATCTCTCCAGCCCAAATCTGTACATTTTTTTTAAAGCTTCTTTTTAAATTTATTTGGGGTGGTGGTGGTGGTGTGTGTGTGTGTTTACATGCATGGGTGTGTGGCATCAGGGGACAACTTCTGGAAGTGGGTTTTTTCTTTCCATCAAGAGTGTCTTCAGGCTCAAACTCAGGTCAGGTTTGGGGTCAAACACTTTCAGTCGCTAAGTCACCTCACTGGCCCCCATTTTATCATTTGATTTCTAATTGCGTGGATGACTAATTTGAGTTTTTAAAATACCCAGGGCTGCGTGTTTGATTGGCCAGCCGCGAGCGAAGGCCCGCTCCCAGCCCAACCCACTGCGTGCCTTCCCGGCCAGTCCACACCCTGGTTACCCCTGGTCGTGCCCCCCCCCACTTCTGGGCGGTTCCAGAGAGTTGGTGTCGTCCCCCGCCCCCAAGCAGTCCAGCTGTGTTGGTCGCAAGCCTCAGCACAGGACATTTAACTTTTAATATAACTTGCTCATCTTGCGTCTCTCTGGCTGCTACAGATGCCCACCGAGACCCAGGCTAGCATGTAGAAGCTAATTCTGGAAACAGGGCGGTGCTGTCGCCTTTGAGAGCAACTGTTAGCTACCAGAGCCAAGTGCTTCCCAGAGGATGCGACCTGCTGTCCTTTTACTTCCTTGGTATGAGATTTCATAAAATTCACAGGGTATTGAGTTGGGTTTTTTGATTTTTTTTTTTTAATGAAAACTTTCAAACCTTGCTCTCAAACTGACACCTATATGCCCCAACATGGACCAAGTTAGCATGCCCTGCCTCCCCCTCAGAATGAGAATTTTTTCCAGAAAACTCAAACACATACCTTATATGGGGAGTACCACACATTTCTTTGTGATAATGGGTCTGGATACGCAGTAACCAAGGCTAGCCTCAAACTCACAGAGATTCCCCTGCCACAGCTTCCCACGTGTTGGGATTTTAAATGAAAATTTTTGTTTAGTTAAATGGAGGCTTTCCTGGACCCATCTGTGCAGCTGAGCTACTACTTAGAAATGATATTAGCATGATCATGAGACTATTCCTCATAAGGGTGAGGGCAGAAAACAAAACAAGAACATGGAAGGACCGGGCATTGGTGGCAAACATCTTTAATCCCAGCACTCAGAGGCAAAGGCAGGCGGATCTCTGAGTTTGAGGCCAGCCTGGTCTACATAGTGGGTCCAGGTCAAGGCTATATTGAGAAACCCTGTCTTGAAAAACAAAACAACAAAAAGAAAAAATGTAAGGGTTTCCAGAGAACCCACTCAGCAACAGGAGCCTTTGGTTCTGGCTCCGGCTTCTTGCCCTATGAAGTCTCTAAAGTGAATCATTTGAACAGAGGCCATGGGGGTTGGGGGCAGGGTTTGGAGGCAGCTGGTTGATCCCAAGGTCTTCAGCTCCTCCGGGAGGCTAGGAACCGGAGTAGGGGTCACCCCAAAACACAGGAGGCTAGCACAGACTTTATAATAACACTGTAAATTTATAGAAAGCATGGGCTATACTCTGAGTTCCACCCTGTTTCACAAACCAGAAGACATGGGCTGGTGGGATGGCTCAGCTGGTAAAGTCCGGGTGCTAAGCCCTTGGCTTTGTCCCCTGTCTCCTGTACACGGGGGGGGGGGGGGGGGGGGGGGNNNNGGGGGGGGGGGGGGGGGGGGGATGGAAAGACACCCCCCCACATACACACACACACTCACTTCCACATCCACTTCCCGACACACAAAAATACATTTAGAGACCTGGAGATAAGAATCATCAGTTAAGACCACTTGTCTTGTTGCTCTTCCAGAGGGTCTGAGTTCGATTCCCAGAGCCACATGGTGGCTCACAACCACCTGTAACTCCAGTTCTAGCCGATCTGATGCATGTCCGTGGTATACAGACATATACGTGGGCAAAACACTAGTACACAGAAAATGAAAGAAATAAGTAAAACAGGGTGAGAGGCACTCTTACGGAGGCCAGAGGACAACAGTTTTGGGGGTGGTTGGCTCCTTTCAGAACTCAGGACGGCATGCGTGGCAAAAAGCTCTCATACCCACTCAGCCATTTCGCTGGTCCCTTAAAATGTAATTCAGAAGCAACAAACAAACGAAAATAACCATGTCGTAACCGAGGAAACTAAGGTTGACATGATTCTAATTAGGAGCCTCAGTACAGAGGAACAGTCTACTTAAGAGGGCTCAAGAAATGGGCTGCACTACCAGGGCGCGGTCACACAGCGCCTCTGCCCCTTTAAGGTGCGAGCTGGGGGCGGGGCTCCGGAGCCATCCTGCGGGGGGGGGGCGGGGGGGAACGTCGTGAAAGGGAGCCGGGACTGTCGGAGGGAAAGCAGCGTTAACTTTTAAAGGCGCAGCCTTGTCACGGGCGCTCCCCGACGACTCACAGCACGGCCAGAGGGCCCTCTCCCTTTAAGGAGAAAGTCAAGGGAGGGACCTGATGGCTCCTCCCCCCGGCTCCTTTAAGGAGCGGCTCTGGTGTGCCGTCAGAAAAGCGGCTTAAAGGCGACGCGTGGCGCGATGGCGGCGTTCTCCGGCGGGTTGCGCGGGCTGCGGTTCCTGCCGCTGCTCCTGCTGCTGCCGCTGCCGCCCGGTGGCCCGCGGGGCACCGACGGCTACTTCCCTGAGGAGCGCTGGAGCCCCGAGTCCCCGCTGCAGGCGCCGCGCGTGCTCATCGCGCTGCTGGCGCGGAACGCGGCGCCCGCGCTGCCGGCCATGCTGGGCGCCCTGGAGCGGCTGCGCCACCCACGGGAGCGCACGGCGTTATGGTGAGCGGCCGGCCCGGGCGCCGTGCGCAGGGCCTCGGCTATGCACCTCGGGGGATTCGGCTGTTTATCCGGGGACTCGATTTTGTACCCGAGGGATGCGGTTATGTCTTGGCGGACTCGGCTCTGCACTGCGGAGACTCGGTTGAGCCTCGGTTTAGGACTCGGTTGTCTACCTAGGGACCCGGGTTATGCACCTGGGGAGTTCGGCTATGTAACCGAAGTACCGGCTTTCGTCCCGATTGCACTTTGGGACCCCGAGCTGCTGCCCGCTCCCGCCAGGTTCTGGGTTGCTGCCAGCCCTCACAGCTGCGATTCTAGGACCCCTGGCTTCTCAGAATGGGCCAGGCTGGTGCTTCCAGACCCTTTCAGCTCACTGTCTTGCGCCCCAGGCGCGGGCCGGCGTTCCACTCTAACAAAGTCAATGAACTTAACAGGTTTCCAGACCCAGTCAGACTCTAAGTGACTTAAGAGTAGAGGAAGGGACCTGAAGGCAGTGGGAAGAAGTGGACCCTTCACACAAGGGGACATGGCAGCTTCTGACGTCCCACTCAGTGTCCTTTTACATAGTTTTTCTTTGTCGCACTACAATGTGCTTTCCACATTAGCAGGCCTTGTTCAGCTGTGCAGCAGTGAGCTGGGCGTCATCCTCACTGCCGTGTTTCTGATGGGCAGTAGGCACGGAGCGGGAGGGTGCTTTATCCATGGCATTGCAGGTGGTGGGGACTGAGCCAGCATGGAGAACCCCCACGCCATCCGGTTGTTCCGTCTTGCCTTTTGATTCCCCGACTGCTCTGACCCATCATCCACTTGTGCTCACAGGGTGGCCACGGATCACAACACGGACAACACTTCAGCCATACTCCGAGAGTGGCTGGTGGCTGTAAAGGGTTTGTACCACTCTGTGGAGTGGCGGCCAGCGGAAGAGCCCAGGTGAGCCTCCCATCTTCATTGGAGTGGAAAGCCAGCATGCTCTGTCCCCACCCTGGGCTTTGCTGGCAGATCCTGATCCTCTAGCCGACCTTAGTCCCATTGTCCTTCACTCCATTGTCCAGCCTTGGACACTAGCCTGTCACACCTCCCGGCAGAATTCCTTTGTGTCTGGTGGCCACCTGTTGTGTTCCTGCCTCAGGGTGTTGTGGCATACTCTCCTCTAACTTCGCCCCAGGCTGCCCTGGAACTTGCCATCCTCCTGCCTCAGTCACCTGAGTGCTGGAATCACAGATGCCCACCCCCACGCACTAGCCTGGGGGATTGCATCTGGTGACCTGCCGAGGCTCTCTTACTCCTTTTGTGCCCAGAGGCACCTTGATGGCCCTGGGGTGCCCCCGGCCATGCAGAGCTTTCCTTGGGCCGCAGCTTGCCTGCCATGTCTATGCCTCTGGACCCTCGCACACGCTGGGCTGGTGGCCAGGACCCTGTGCCCTGCACACTTCCTCCCCCGTGCTCCACTTGGAGGCCTTCAGATCTGCTGTGTGCCCTATCGTCTGTGAAGTTGTCTATGACTGGGGGCTCACTGCGTGCCATATCCTTACATCAGTTACTCTCGTAGTTCCTACCCAGATGAAGAGGGCCCCAAACACTGGTCTGACTCCCGCTACGAACATGTCATGAAGTTGCGCCAGGCGGCTCTCAAGTCAGCTCGGGATATGTGGGCTGATTACATCATGGTGAGTTTCTGGGTGAGAGACGCTGGAGATGCAGGAGCCAGGAGTTACCCCATGGGGTTACACAAAAAACTTTGTCTCAAATAAACAAACAAATAAATAAAAAAAATAAAGAGGGGAGAGGGCTGTGGCTATAGCTCAGTGGGTACTTGAGGCCTGGGTCTCATCCCAGGCCCTCCAGAAAGAGCAAGTAGGGTTTGTATACTCTTGGTTGGGCACTATGTTGTATTTTTAAATAGATGTTTGAAAATAACATTGTTTATTTATTGGCGTGTGAGCTTGCAGGTCAGCTTGCAGGAGTGGCCACCGCTGGGGTCTTGGGGATTGACCTTTTTTGGCTCAAGATCACCAAGGGTCACGAATTAGGGCCTTGTAAGTGTGAAGCCATGCCAGGCCCTACTTCCTCTTCCCCGACTTCCCCTGCCTGTGAGGAGGAAGCATCTGGGGCTGGAGGGTTCAGTGGCTGTGGAACACTGACTGGCTGAGAGTTCCCAGGATCAGCTCCCAGTAACCTCGGGGCCTGGGGGAATTTGGCGCCCCCTTCTGGCCTGTGTGGGCACTGCACTCAAATGCATACTTTTTTTTAAATTTTATTTGTTAAAGATTTCTGTCTCTTCCCCACCACCGTCTCCCCTTTCCCCCCCCCTCCCCCAATCAAGTCCCCCTCCCTCGTCAGCCCAAAGAGCAATCAGGGTTCTCTGCCCTGTGGGAAGTCCAAGGACCACCCACCTCCATCCAGGTCTAGTAAGGTGAGCATCCAAACTGCCTAGGCTCCCACAAAACCAATAAATGCAGTAGGATCAAAAACCCATTGCCATTGTTCTTGAGGTCTCAGTAGTCCTCATTGTCTGCTATGTTCAGCGAGACCGGTTTTAACCCAGGCTTTTTCAGACCCAGGCCAGCTGGCCTTGGTGAGTTCCTGATAGAACATCCCCATTGTCTCAGTGTATGGGTGCACCCCTAGCGGTCCTGAGTTCCTTGCTCGTGCTCTCTCTCCTTCTGCTCCTGATTTGGACCTTGAGATTTCAGTCCGGTGCTCCAATGTGGGTCTCTCTCTGTCTCCTGCCTGATGAAGGTTAATATTCCGGAGGATGCCTATATGGAGAACCATAGAGTCTGTGAGCGGGGTAAGGCTGTGCTCTGATTGGCCCTCCCCTCTTCTGTTGCAGCAGGTTTTGTTGTTTGGGGTTTTTTTAAAGATTTATTTATTTATTATATATACTGTGTTCTGCCTGCATGAATCCCTGCAGACCAGAAGAGGGCACCAGATCTCATTATAGATGGTTGTGAGCCACCATGAAGGCACTGGGAATTGAACTCAGGACCCCTGAAGGAGTCAGTGCTCTGAGCCATCTCTCCAGCCCCTGCTGTTTTGCTTTCTTGATTATGTTTATTTATTTGTAGGTGGTCACATATTGTCGTAACCTTGTGGGGACTGGAGGGCAGTTTTGGGGAGTCTGCTGTCTCCTCCTTCTGTGAGTCTCGTGGATGAACTCAGATTGTCAGCCTTGGCCTGAGGGCCACCGATGGCGTCATCCCGGATGCCTGAGGTGCGGGAGGCCTGTGGGGAAGGCAGCAAAGACTCCAGAAAGAGGAAGGTGGACCCAGCTCCTTGGCCCATCTTACAGAAATGAAAGCAGATGCTGAGGTCGGAGAAGAGAAACAGTATGGACCTAGAGCCGATTCAGAGTGAAAAATAAGAAATAAAAAGGACAGGAAAGGACATGCATGCTCCTAGGTTTGGTGGAAGAGAGGGTTTATTGTTAGAGGCAGGAACAGACAGAGCTGGGCAGAGGGCGGGATATGGACGCCATACTCTGTAACTGAGAGATGCTGGGAAAACCTGGCAGCCAGGTCTGCTTGATATGTTCAGTCTGTCCCAGGCTTGAGATCTAACAGGAGGATACTAGAAGAAACTCCTGGAACTTTGTGGAACCTTTTGTAGCCCCCCAGAACAGACAGGGTGCCCTTCCCTGCTTTTGGCTTCTGTGGTTTGAGGCTGGCTCTTTTCACGGTCCCCAGGAGGTCACTGTGACCTGACTCAAAGCTCTCTATGGAAAGGTACTTTTGGTACTAGGGGACTTTGGAGCACAGGACTGGAGTGTGAGTTTACTTCCCGGTCTGTGGAAGAAAAGGGTCTCCAGAATGGATTTCAGGTTTAGCCATACAGCAGGGGAACCAGCTTCTGGCAAATTGTCTGCCCCTTGCTCGCAGAAACTTTTTTTTATTGTAACACAGTTTCCACCTCTTAGTAAGTTTCTATGAACTGAAACCTACCATCTGAGCCAGGTGGTAGTGGCACAGGACTTTAATCCCAGCACTCTCCCAGCATTCTGCTAGAGAGATGGCTCAGTGGTTAAAAGCACTGGCTGTTCTTCCAAAAGTTCAATTCCCACTACCCACGTGGCAGTTCACAACTGTCTGTAACTCCAAGATCTGACACCCTCACACGGATATACATGCAGGCCAAACACCAATAAATAAAACTTAAAAAAATCCCAGCACTCGGGAAGCAGAGGCAGGCAGATCTCTGAATTTGAGGCCAGCCTGGTCTACCGAGCTGGTTCCAGGACAGGGTCCAAAGCTACAGAAAAACCCTGTCTAGGGGAAGTGGGGGACCCCTTCTCCCCAAGCAGTTCTGAGTCAGTGTTGAAATAGGAGCGGCGGGGCTGCGTCCCCAGCACCTGGCCGCCCGCATGGCTAGCTTATGCCCGAAATAATTACACGGAAACTGTATTCTATTAAACACTGCCTGGCCCGGCTAGTTCCAGCTTCTTATTGGCTAGCTCTTACATATTGTTCTAACCCATTTCTAATATTCTGTGTAGCCCACGAGCTGGCTTACCAGGGAGGATCTTAACCTTTGTCTGTCTGGAGCGGGAGAATCATGGCGACTCCTCACTCAGCTTCTTTTTCCCAGCATCCTGTTCTGTTTTCTCCACCTACCTAAGGGTTGGCCTATCAAATGGGCCTAGGCAGTTTCTTTATTAAAAAGAAATCACTCCCACATCAAGTCAGGAGACCACTTGCTTTCCCACGTCCTCTCATTACTATGCTTTGGCTCTGAATTCTGGAAGAAATCTGAGAAGAGTCCAACAAAAGGTAGCCGCCACCAAAGGTGGTGCAAAGCCCAGTGCCAACACTGCGGAATCGCCACACTGGGTGCTTTCGTTTTCCTTTAATTTATTTAATTTTATTTTATGTTCATTGGTATGAGAGTTGGATCTCCCGGAACTGGAGTTGCAGACATATGTGAACTGTCATGTGGATGCTGGGAACTGAACTCTGGTCCTCTGCAAGAACAGCCAGTGCTCTTACCCACTGAGCCATCTCTCCAGCCAGCCCTAATATTTTTTTTTAATGTGACTTTTTGTTATGTATCCCTGACTGGTCTGGAACTCTCAACCAGGCTGGACTCATGCCTCTGAATGCCGGGACAGCCGGCAGCACACCAGGCTCATGTTTATGTGTTTGTTTATTTACTTGTTTAACTTCTGGTTTCTGAGACAGGGTTTCTCTGGGTAGCCCTGGCTGGCGAATCTTTTGCCTCAGAGTCTGTCCTAGAGTTCCTGTCTGCCTGGAAGTCCCGCCTGTCCTCCCTGCCCAGCCATTGGTCATTCAGCTCTTTACTAAACCAATTAGAAAGTACCTGAGGTAGGTGAGGCCAGACAGATGTTTCTTCACACAGTGTACAAAAAGATCAGCCTCACATCAACGAGAATTTGTGTGTCTGTCGTTTGGTGGCCAAGCAATATTCCAAACCGTGGCCTTCACACAGATGTCTCTGCGGGGGCATTGTGTGTATCTGACTTTTTGGCTCCTGTGGTGGGTGCGATGTTTGAACCCATTCCTTCCAATCTTTGGGGTTCATCTCCCAGGATGGAAAGTTAGACTTGTCTTTCTCTAACTTTTGGGCATGCTGCCAGGCTGCCCTGGCTCACACAAGATTCCAGTATATGCAGGGTTTAGGTGAGACTAGCACTTGACCCCATAGCTCCCCAGGGGCTGCTGCCTCTCCAGCTGGGGACGCACCATGGATCCTGGTGCTGAGTGATCCCGACACGCAGGTAGCAGTTGCATGGGGGCAATAGGAGGTGGATCTTGGCTGAACCCTAGAAAAAGGCCAGGTCAGTCCCCGATGCAGGCTGTTTTTTTTTTTTAAGATTTATTTATTATATATACAATATTCTGCCTGTATGTATCTCTGAGGGCCAGAAGAGGGCATCAGACCTCATTACAGATGGTTGTGAGCCACCATGTGGTTGCTGGGAATTGAACTTGGGACCTCTGGAAGAGCAGCCAGTGCTCTTATCCTCTGAGCCATCTCTCCAGCCTCTGGCATTGCAGTGCACTGTGGTAGAGCCATGCCCCCAGCCTTACTGGCCAGAGTTCTATTTTTAAATAATAAATAATTATTTGTGTTACTCCCTGAATCAGTTTCAGCACAGCTCCTGTCTCATTTCCACAGTTCTGGGATCTCTGCACAGAAGACACCACTTTCTCCCAGAGCTTGTGTGCAGCCCGGACACTGTGTGTGTGTGTGTGTGTGTGTGTGTGTGTGTGTGTGTGTGTGCAGCCTAGACACTGTGTGTGTGTGCAGCCCAGACACTCTGTGCGTGTGTGTAGTCCAGACACTGTGTGTGTGCAGCCCAGACACCGTGTGTGTGTGTGTGTGTGTGTGTGCAGCCCAGACACCGTGTGTGTGTGTGTGTGCAGCCCAGACACTCTGTGTGTGTGTGTGTGTGCAGCCCAGACACTCTGTGCGTGTGTGTAGTCCAGACACTGCGTGTGTGTAGTCCAGACACTGTGTGTGTGCAGCCCAGACACTCTGTGTGTGTGCAGCCCAGACACTCTGTGCGTGTGTGTAGTCCAGACACTGTGTGTGTGCAGCCCAGACACTGTGTGTGTGCAGCCCAGACACCGTGTGTGTGTGTGTGTGTGTGTGTGTGTGTGCAGCCCAGACACCGTGTGTGTGCAGCCCAGACACTGTGTGTGTGTGCACCAGTCATGGCCACACTGAGCCATGCCTAGTCTTTCTATTATTTTTCTTTATTTGTATAAATGAATGTCTTGCCTGCATGTGTGTCTGTACCACATACCTGCTTGGTGCTCTAAAGGCCAAAACAGGGCATCCGATCCCCTGGAACTGGAGTTACAGATGTTGTGAGTCACAGTGTGGGTGCTGGGAACCAGACCCCATCTGCTGCAGGAGCAGCCAGTCTCTTTACCGCTGCGCTCCCTGGGATGTCCATACCTCCACCTGAGTCTGGTCATGCTAACAGCTGGTAAACCTTTTGCAGTTTGTGGACAGTGACAACTTGATCACCAACCCTGACACCCTGAGTCTCCTCATTGCTGAGAACAAGACAGTGGTGGCCCCGATGCTGGATTCCCGTGCAGCGTACTCCAACTTCTGGTGTGGGATGACTTCGCAGGTAGGTGGGGACCAGGACAGACTGGTCACCCCAGACAAGCATCAGGGCGGGGTCCTTTGTTACTGAGGCAGAAGCAGGAGCCCAAATTCACTTGGTGACAGCTAGGAAGTGGCAGTTCCAGGAGTGGCCTTCAGGCATGGCTTGAACCTGGTGCTCCAACAGTGTCGGGCAACTGGGGATCGACTCTAATGGACCCAGCCATGTCCACTTCAGGTCACTTGGGAGGCCTGCTGTGGCTGGGTGCAGGCCTGAGAGTGCACTCAGCTGTGGGCTCAGTGCCTCCTGACCACCCTGCCCCCGCAGGGCTAACAAACTGCACCCCTGCCTCCACCCCCCCCCAAGAGCTAACAAACTGCACCCCTGCCTACAGTCCCCACCCTCCACCCCCTACCTCCACCCCCCACCTCCACCCCCCACCCCCCGCAGGGCTACTACAAGCGCACCCCTGCCTACATCCCCATCCTCCACCCACTCAGGGCTACTACAAGCGCACCCCTGCCTACATCCCCATCCGGAAACGAGACCGCAGAGGCTGCTTTGCCGTTCCCATGGTGCACTCCACCTTTCTCATCGACCTGCGGAAGGAGGCGTCCAGGAGCCTGGCCTTCTATCCACCGCACCCTGACTACACCTGGTCTTTTGACGACATCATTGTGTTTGCCTTCTCCTGCAAGCAGGCAGGTGAGTGAGGCCTGAAGCCCAGTGGTTGTGTGGGCTCCATACTGAGCAAGTCCAAAGAATAAGAGTGGAGTGCGCAGATGGGCCTCCGTCACCACCTTGTTCAGGGAGGTTCTGCTGTGGTCCTGGGACTTGGGAAACTGAGGCGCAGGAGGGTGGTAAATTAGTGGCACAGGTAACATGAATAGTAAAAACCCAGAGACAGATATTGGGGTTCAACCTGAAAAATAGCAGCCAGCCACTGGCTCCTACCACTACCTCAAACTGGAAATGGGCGATCCTACCTTCACAATCCTCAGGCTGAGACTGAGCTGAGACCTACCCTCCCGTTTTATATTCCTCTCTAGTACTGGGATTAAAGGCGCACCACCTGCCTGTGTGGCTGGCTAGCCTGGCTGCTTTGCACTGACCTTCAGGAAAGTTTAGGTGGTGGCGCACGCCTTTAATCCCAGCACTCGGGAGGCAGAGGCAGGTGGATCTCTGTGAGTTCAAGACTAGCCTGGTCTACAAGAGCTAGTTCCAGGACAGGCTCCAAAAACCATGGAGAAACCCTGTCTCAAAAAACCAAAAAAAAAAAAAAAAAAAAGAAAGTTTAGTTTTTTGTTTTTTGTTTTGAATTTTTGAGACAGGCTTTCTCCGTAGCTTTTGGTTCCTGTCCTGGAACTAGCTCTTGTAGACCAGGCTGGCCTCGAACTCACAGAGATCCGCCTGCCTCTGCCTCCCGAGTGCTGGGATTAAAGGTGTGCGCCACCACTGCCTGGCCAAGCTTTAGTTATTAAAACACAAATAATATACCACTTTATTTGTCTAAAAAAAGAAGGCTATAACTAACATAAAAAAAACTATATACAATAAGTACAATAACTATACGGGCAATAAATACATTGACAATGTGTAGTCCTTTGTATTTGATAAATTCAGAGAAAATACTCCATATCTGTCCTATTTTGGTGAGGCCAAAGTCTTATACCTAATTTACTTTCTATCATAACTTGCTTTCTGCATCTGGTAAACTATAACTATAACTATAAAACTATAACTAATCTTCAGTCCCTCAGAGACCCAATAAGGAAATACTATTAACTGAGTAAGCAGGAAGTGTGAGCAAGCGACTTCCAAAAATGTGAGAAATGACAGAAACAGCTGACTGCAAGGACAGTCACCCATGGTTCGTCTGCAACGTTGGGGCATCATCTTCGGCCTACAGGCCTAGCATATCTGACAGACTTCTGTGAAGCAGGATATTCTGAAGGGTTGTCCCTCCTTGTCTTGACAATGTTTCTTTTGTGTCCTGCTTGTCCAATTAGGACAGCATACTGTCAGCAGTTGAGGGAAGGGCATTTCTTACCCAGTGGCTTACTTTTCCCATAAGGAAAGTAAGCTCCATGTGGAGTTTCTTCAATGCCCATTTATCTTCTCTGAGTTAGATTGGTGCTGCCAGGAGCAGACATGTCTCATTGTCATTAAAAAGAATTATGTTATTGAAACATCTTAAATGCTGTATTCTATAGATCTATGAAGTGTTTGAAGATGGTCTGTCTATTTAAAATCGTTGTTTGACTTTGGACGCATACCTAATGTGATGACAAGTTCTGTTATACTAGGTGATTAACTACTAACCTGCATTTCCTTGTTATCCTAAACAGTTGGTAATAATAACTTTCAAGGACTAGAAATTTACATTATTGTTAAATGAGCTGTATAAGTACAGTGCCTTAAACAAGAGTAGAAATGTATGTACAGTATGGTTTAACAAAATTGATCTCAAATTTTTATCAGAATACAAAATTTGTACACAATATACAAAAGTCCAATCCAATGTAAAACATTTAAAACTACTAGTTGCTTTTAAAAAGTAGATTTAATAATCTACCTCTTTATTTTTTTTATTGATATTTATTGAGCTCTACATTTTTCTCTGCTCCCCTCCCTGCCTCTCCCCTCCGCTCTTCAAATCTCCCCCAAGGTCCCCATGCTCCCAATTTACTCAGGAGATCTTGTCTTTTTCTGCTTCCCACTTAGATTAGATCTATGTAAGTCTCTCTTAGTGTCCGCATTGTTGTCTAAGTTCTCTGGGATTGTGGTTTGTAGGCTAGCTTTCTTTGCTTTATGTTTAAAAACCACCTATGAGTGAGTACATGTGATAATTGTCTTTCTGTGTCTGGGTTACCTCACTCAAAATAATGTTTTCTGGCTCCATCCATTTTCCTGCAAAATTCAAGCTGTTGTTATTTTTTTTCTGCTGTGTAGTACTCCACTGTGTAAATGTACCGTTTTCCTTATCCATTCTTCAGTCCAGGGGCATTTAGGTTGTTTCCAGGTTCTGGGTGTGACAAACAAAACTGCTATGAACATAGTTGAGCACATGTCCTTGTGGCACAATTGAGCATCCTTTGGATATATACCCAAAAGTGGTATTACTGGGTCTTGAGGAAGGTTGTTTCCTAATTTTCTGAGAAATCGTCACACTGATGTCCCAAAGGGCTGTACCAGCTTGCATTCCCACCAGCAATGCAGAAGTGTTCCCTTTTCCCCACAACCTCTCCAGCATTAGTTGTCATCGGTGTTTTCGATCTTGGCCATTCTTACAGGTGTAAAATGGAATCTCAGAGTTGATTTGATTTGCATTTCTCTGATGACTAAGGATGTTGAACATTCCCTTAAGTGTCTTTCAGACATTTTAGATTCTTCTCTTGAGAGTTCTCTGTTTAGGTCTGTACTCCTTTTTTTTTTTTTTATTGGATTATATGATCTTTGGTGTCCAATTTCTTGAGTTCTTTGTATATTTTAGAGATTAGACCTCTGCTTGATGTGGGGTTAGTGAAGATCTTTTCCCATTCTGTAGGCTGTCATTTTGTCTTGTTGATGGTGTCCTTTGCTTTTCAGTTTCAGGAGGTCCCATTTATTAATTGTTTCTCTCAGTGTCTGTGCTGCTGGGGTTATATTTAGGAAGTGGTCTCCTGTGCCAATGCATTCAAGTGTACTTCCCACTTTCTCTTCTATAAGGTTCAGTGTGGCTGGCTTTATGTTGAGGTCTTTGATCCATTTGGACTTGAGTTTTGTGCATGGTAATAGATATGGGTCTATTTTTATTCTTCTACATGTTGATATCCAGTATGCCAGCACCACTTGTTAAATATGGGATTAAAGGTGTGCACCACCACCGCCACTGCCTCTATGGCTAACTAGTGTGGCTGCTAGGATTAAAGGTGTGTGCCACCACTGTCTGATTGGCTAGTCTGGCTGCTTTGCATTGATCTTCAAGCAAGCTTTAGTTATTAAAACACAAATACTATACTACTATGGGCACACACAGTGAGATCCCATACCAAACAACAGAAGAATAGACATGCGTAGTTACTATTTTCATCTCCCAGTTGTGTGTGTGTGTGTGTGTTCATGAGCACACTTGCAGTGGGTTTGTGTACACTGCAGTAACTTATGTGTGATCAGCACGGCACACTTAGAAGTTGGAGGACCTGCAGGTATTGGTTCTCTCTGTCCACTGTGGGTCCTGGGGATGGAACTCAGATCTTCAGGCACCGTGGTGCACACCTTTAATCCCGGTGCTCAGGAGGCAGAGGCGATCTCTGTGTGTTCGAGGCCAGCCTTTCTCGTGAGCCCTGTGGTGCTGACTGATGAGGGCCTCATCTCACTTTTGCACACTCACAAACCAAAATCAGTTTTTACATTTTCGAAGAATGACCGAAATCTGAAACCTTTTGCCTGTCGAGGCCTCACAGCGTAGCCCGGGCTGGTCTGCAGCTCCCCATCCCTGCCTTATCCCGAGCAATGGGATGATGGACGGTACCACCCTGACTTCTCTCTTGTCCCCACACTAGAGGTACAGATGTACGTGTGCAATAAGGAGGTGTACGGCTTCCTGCCCGTGCCTCTGCGTGCGCATAGCAGCCTGCAGGACGAGGCAGAGAGCTTCATGCACGTGCAGCTGGAAGTCATGGGTGAGTGGGTGCTGCTGGGCGGCAATCCTGGCATGGAGCGTGTGTGACTCTGGAGGCTGAGTCCCAGGTCAAGGGACAGCCTGGGCTACAGAGTGAGATCCCAGCCTGAAAGACTGATCCTGTTTGCAGTGGAGTTAGAAGGGGTGCTTTACCCATGTAGCATTTGGGGGGACACATTTGGAGTAACAGCAGCCAGCATGAGCCTCACTGCGATTCTGAGAAGCTTGAGAGTGCAGCTGAGGAGAGCGGGGGCCGCTCCTGGGATAATTCTGCTTTAGCTGTTGAGCGCCTGCTGTATACCAAGCTCTGGGCTGTGCACTGTGAGTGGGCAGACCCCACATTCTTCCAGGATGTTAGAGATGGAGTTAGAGCAGGGACAGCATTGAATCCCGGGCCTGACCAGCCAGAGGCCCGGAGGCTGCCCCTGGGTCATAGCTGAGGTCTAAGTTGAATGTGGCACGGGTGAAGGTCCCGGGGCAGGAATGGACCCCTTGGGATCTGGTGCCAACAACTGAGATGGGGGTTTGGAGGGCATGGGGTCCTAGGACCCCAGTGACCCCTATTTTCTTCCTGTTAGTAAAGCACCCGCCAGTGCAGCTGTCCCGGTTCATCTCAGCACCCAGCAAGACTGCAGACAAGATGGGCTTTGACGAGGTGGGCTGGGCACCCCCCTTCCACCCCCCACCCCCGGGTAGGGAGGCAGCTGACTGACCTGGGGTCACTGAGACTGTGACCACAGGTCTTCATGATCAACCTGAAGCGGAGGCGGGACCGGCGAGAACGCATGCTGCGGGCCCTGCATGAGCAAGAGATCGACTGCAAGCTGGTGGAGGCCGTGGATGGCAAGTATGTCCTGCACACGCGCAACCGTGCGTGTTTTGTGTGTGTGTGTGCGCGCACGCGCATGTGTGTATGTACGGGCGTGTGTGTGTGTGTGTTTGTGTGTGCATACGTTCAAGCTTGTACACATGAGGGGGGTGGAGTCAACTTTGGCAGACCCTCGGTGCAGCCAAGAAGGCAGGAAGGTGTCTCATCCTCAGACAGTCTGCCATGCTCTTGAACAAAGCCGAATGGGGTCTGGGCTTGGACCAACCGGTTAGGTCCACAGGAGGCCAGAGGTTGATTGGTAGAACGGCTTTTTCCGTTTTCCTCACCCTGTTCTCCATCCTCCTCTCCCTGGACCTCACCAGAGCCATGAACACCAGCCAGGTGGAGGCCCTGGGCATCCAGATGCTGCCTGGCTACCGGGACCCCTACCACGGGCGACCCCTCACCAAGGGAGAGCTGGGCTGCTTCCTCAGCCACTACAACATCTGGAGGGAGGTAGGTGTGGGTAAGGGGCTAGCCCACGGTCCTTGGTCTCCTCACAGCTCAGTCAGCCTCGGAGGCCCAGGGAGGACTGTAGTCCTCGTGCCTCCAGCAGCTCTGTGGCTGTGTTTTGTTGTCTGTCCCATGAACTGTCTTTACGTTGGCCATGGTTCTTCTGAGTGCGGCGGCTACTGCCCTTTCATTGCAGAAAGTCGGCCTGGAGAGGGCCTGCAGGTGAGGCTGGGGCTGTGGTCCCCAAGTGAGACCTTGTACCCCAACCTGACTCTGCTCTGTGTCTTTACATGTGATGACCTTTGGCGTTAGTGTCGCTGGGCTATGCATTAGGGAACAGCAGGTGATGCTGAAACCACACAAGAACCAAATTTTTTTTTAAATATTTATTTATTATGTATACAATATTCTGTGTATATATCCCTGCAGGCCAGAAGAGGGCACCAGACCCCATTACAGATGGTTGTGAGCCACCATGTGGTTGCTGGGAATTGAACTCAGGACCTTTGGTAGAGCAGGCAATGTTCTTAACCTCTGAGCCATCTCTCCAGCCCCAAGAACCAAATTTTTAACCTGCAAATTGGAGGCTGGATAGGTGGGGCGTTGACTCCAGATGATGAGGAACAAGAAAAAGGACACCTGGATGCCCAAAGTTCTTGCATGGGCTGTCCTTCCTTCCTGAAGTTCCTCGTGGCAGTCTCTTAGCTGGATGATGGTGAAGCCTTCTTGACAGGGGCATCCTAGACCAAGGAGGAAGGGTGGAGGAGCCTGCCTGTTGTTGCCGAGAGAAAGGCTTCTTGGTTTCCCAAGCAAAACACAGGCAAAGGTCCTAGAGCAGAAGAGCTCAGGCAAGGGGGAAAAGAGAGCTGTGGTGGGCACACAGCTGGATGATGTGGAAGGCTGGGAGGCAGCCATGGTGGGCACACAGCTGGATGATGTGGAAGGCTGGGAGGCAGCTGTGGTGGGCATATAGCTGAATGTGGACGGGTCTTTGTGACTTGGCGGAGCCCCTTCCTTCAGGTGGTCGACCGGGGACTGCAGAAATCCCTCGTGTTTGAGGATGATCTGCGTTTTGAGATCTTCTTCAAGAGACGGCTGATGAACCTCATGCGGGATGTGGAGCGCGAGGGTTTGGACTGGGACCTCATGTGAGTGGGGTTGGTGGAAGGGGCCAAGATGGACGTCAGCCTGGGTGCGGGTCTGGAGCCTGGAGGACTTGCTGGGTTGACTTGGGCCCAGCGCCGTCCCTGATGTCGGGTGGTATTCTCTGGCCAGTGGGGGGGGGGGGTGAGTGACAGGTCTCTAATTCTTCACCCCAGATACGTGGGCCGGAAGCGCATGCAGGTGGAGCAGCCGGAAAAGGCCGTGCCCCGCGTGAGGAACCTGGTGGAGGCAGACTACTCCTACTGGACGCTCGCCTACGTGATCTCCCTGCAGGGTGCTCGCAAATTGCTTGGAGCCAAGCCGCTGGCCAAAATGCTGCCAGTTGACGAGTTCCTGCCCGTCATGTTTGACAAGCACCCAGTGTAAGGGGGCTGTGAAGAGCTGCTGAGGGGTGGGGTGGCAGACTGGGAGATCAGGGCAGGGGGACAAGTACTAGTGTGCTTGAAGGAGGGTCTCCATCTCCCCCTGTGCCTCCTGTCTCTCCTAGGTCAGAATATAAGACTCACTTCTCTCCCCGCAACCTGCGCGCCTTCTCCGTAGAGCCGCTCCTCGTCTATCCTACACACTATACGGGGGACGACGGCTATGTGAGCGACACGGAGACCTCAGTTGTGTGGAATAACGAGCAGGTTAAGACTGACTGGGACCGAGCCAAGTCCCAGAAGATGCGAGAGCAGCAGGCGCTGAGCCGAGAGGCCAAGAACTCTGACGTGCTGCAATCCCCACTGGACAGTGCCGCTCGGGACGAGCTCTGAGGCAGCTGGCAAAAGGCTGTGGCTGCCGGGATCACAGGGCCACCCAGGCAGACCGTAGAGGACTCTGTAGCAGACGGCTTCGTCTCCTGCTCAGCAGTCACTTGCACACTGGCACTATTAATGGAATGTTCACTGTGCCAGGAACGGGCTGGGCACTGGGAGGTTGTCTGTCGCTCCGTTGTGTCCACCGCGAAGGAAGGTTTGTTAGAGCAGTGAACAGGCTTAGCGCTTCCTGCATCAGGGATTGATTTGAACATTGGGTGGTTAGTGATCAGGCCGAGTCAGATATTAGGGATGCACACTTATTTTAAAATCTTTATTGAGGACATACTGTGTGTTGGGCACCATTCTTAGCCCTAGGGATACAGAAATAAGAAAAGTCGACGTGCCAGGCACCTGATGACGCCAGGTCTTGGGCAACACCGAGTTGAGTACCTGTGTGTCGCCCATTAGGTGCTGGGGGTGGTGGTCCCATTGGTGCTCCCCCTTCCATGGGCTGACGTGCTGAGTGCAAGGACAGAGCAGACAGAAATGTCTTCGTGTAACAGGCCTTTATTGAGTGCTTATGGCGTGTCAGGCCTTGAGGACTCTCAGCCTGTCTGTGAGAGGACAGCATCTTCCCCTTGTCCAGAGGGACGCTGCTCTCCTTACACTTGCCTGCTGGGTTTCAGGGTACTGGTGGCCTTGCCAGCCCCCCTGGAGGGGTGTCACGGGGGATGGGGCTCCCTTGCCCACCCCTGGCTTCCATAGCTCCTCCCTGCCCTTGTGTCTCAGGTGTCCCCTGCTTGCTCTTGTGCATTTGGGGCCTTGAAGTGGCCCAGCTGCATTGGGGTGTTCTTATTTGCCTTGGCTGTATGTTTCCTCGCAGGGCCAGGGGGTCACTGTGCCTTCAAAGCCAGATCAGATGTCAGCAGGCAGAAGGTCTCACCTCTAGGGGATGACTGCCCGCTCAGATCTTGGTAACTTGCTCACGGTTGTATTAAATACTCCTGGTTGGTTTGGCTGAAGCTTGTGGTCATGCTGCCCCGAGTCCCTATCAAGATTTGGGGGGACACGGTTCTTTTTTTTTTTAATATTTATTTATTATGTATACAATATTCTGTCCGTGTGTATGTCTGCAGGCCAGAAGAGGGCACCAGACCTCATTACAGATGGTTGTGAGCCACCATGTGGTTGCTGGGAATTGAACTCAGGACCTTTGGAAGAGCAGGCAATGCTCTTAACCACTGAGCCATCTCTCCAGCCCCCGGGGGCAGGGTTCTTGAAGGTACATGTTATGCAGACTTCCAAGCACTTAAGGGAGTGTGGGTCAGGATGTACTGGGGATCCCATGTCCCCCACCCCATAAAGCATCCTGGGAGTGGCTGGTGGATTCTCCAAGATGCCGTGGGGTCCATCACAGTCTGTTCCCAAGGAAACAAATGCCATGTTCACGGAAGGAGCCCACCGGGGGGCGACAGAGCAAATGCTGTGGACCCTGGGACAGGGAGACTGGGCTGCTGGTCCCAGTTCCTGTGGGCTCAAGGCCCCATGGAGCCTGACAGCCGACTCTGCCCAGCCCAGGCCACCTGCCTAGGGACCCACCCTAAAGACATGGGCCTCACTGCTGTCAACTCTGAGTAGAGATCACTTTAGGCTGTGTGGACTGACAGCTAGAGACAGGACAGACGCCCCTGCTAGGACTTCCTGGGTCAGATCACACCAGTTATCAGGGTCTAGGGCTGTGGCCTGGGGGCACGCTCCCTACACTCTGTAAACTCACACAGATTGTGTGTGATGGTAGAGCCTAAAGAGACGCTGGCCATGTTCTCAGGACTGCTGCCTCCCTGCCGGAAATACGCACAGCAGACATCAGCTGTTTCTGGGCCCCTGAGCCTTGGTTTCTTTGGGGTGCTATGGGTATGCTGGCTGGCCGAGTAGACAAGAAAAGCATCCTCAGTTCAGCCACAGCCTAGTCTCCTGACTGTGCTGGTCCCCAGCTTTTGTTTTGTTTTTAGTGTGTGGGAGGACAGCACGTGGGCTGTGATACAGTGGGGATCAAAGGCCAGTTTCCCAGTCCCCGCTGTGTGGGTCCCTAGGCTTGGCAGCAAGCACCTTATGCCTTCCCCTGGGCCCACAGAGGTTTTGTCAAAGGAAGCAAAGCCAGCCGGACCCTGAGGCACTGCGCTTTTTCTTTCTTTTTTTTTTTTAATGTTAATAAAATATTTTTTACAGAGACCAAAAAGTCAGAATAGTGCAAAACATCTCAACGCCATGCACTCATGAACACTCCCCGGGTGTTTTGAATACATGTCCTAAGTCACAGATTGACTGAGAAATGAGGGTTTCTTGGAAGATGCTGGACTAACCGGGGTGGACCTAAAAGACCCTCCCAAAAAACAGGAAAGGAAAAAACCAAACAACTCTCAGATTCCACATCTGCAGTCACATGCGAAGAAAGGCTAATGGAGGGGTTCCCTGGGCTGCACGGCAGGGGTTGGGGTCAGGAACCTTCTGGGGTACAGGGAACCCTCCCTGTCACCTGCACCCCCAACAGTGTCAACCCAATTCACTTTTTAAAACAAAAGGCAAAGAGGAGAGGATTGGGTCCCCAGAGCCAGCTTTGGTCCTGAAAGTTGCTGGGGGTGGGCTGGGCTGGCCCCGGGCACCATGACTCCACCCCCAGCAGGGCTGCCCTTGGGACCCCATAGGTGAGAGGTCCCAGCTGAGAGAGGTCCCAAGGAGTTCTGGGTGCTTTTGATTTTTTTTTCTTTCTTTCTTTCTTTTTTTTTTTTTTTTTTTTTTTTTTTTTTTTTTTTTTTTGTTTTTTTTTNTTGTTTTTTTTTTTTTTTTTTTTTTTTTTTTTTTTTTTTTTTTTTTTTTTTTTTTTTTTTTTTTTTTTTTTTTTTTTTTTTGCATGTCTGATGGGGCAGGCAAGGCAATTGGTCTTGAGGCCCAAGAGGGGCCAGGGTACAGAGGACACCCCTGAAGTGCTGACCCTTCCGGATGGGGTGAGCTGACTACAGGCCCTCTTTAATTTTTCAGGGTTGGGGATAGAACCTAGAACAGTGCGTGACTGGCCGCCCCTCCCTGGGGGATTCTGCGTTGGGCATGGATGAACCTGGACCCGCATCTTTCCACTGCTCTTCCCCTCTCCCCTTATCTGCCTCACCCAGCCAGTCCTGCCCCTCCTGTGGGCGGATGTAGCTCTTTCCAGCCTCAAACTCCCTGCAGCAGGCCAGTCGGACCTGCATCCCAGTGTGTCCTAGAGAGCCCAGGTCTGTCCTGGTGGTGACTCAGACCAGCAGCCCTGAGTAGCTTCCTCTCTGTCCTGAGCTCAGAGCCCACCCCTCTACTGTCTTCATCTACTGTGTCCTGAGGTTTAGCCTGGTCACCTGCTGTGTGTGTGGGGGGGTCTGTCAGGGTAGGGGGAATTGTAACGACAGGCATGCGTGTGGATGTGGGGTCACATGCAGACCCCACGGCCACTCTCAACACACAATTCAAGGCATCATGACCTTCACTGCTCCTGGGGAAGCTTGGGTTCCGATGATGCCTCAGCCTTGAAGAAGTTTAGGAGTTTTAGAGCCAGGTACACACACTCCAGTCTTGTGACACCAGGGCCTAGTTGGAGAAGGGCAAGAAGTTGGGGAAGTCAGAATTGTTTTTAAGGAGGGGATTTTTGTGATGGGTATTGAAAGATGAATAGGAGGTCTCTGAGTAAACAAAAGGACATTTCAAACAGTCCTAGCCTGGTATTCAGAACAACTCACTCAACAAACGAGTTCCCTCAACATTCTGGGCCAGCACACACATACACACAGGGGGAAGCAGGAGGGGGGGACACAGACTATCTTGGTTCTGTCAGTCACACACACACCCCCCCGACACACACACACACACACACACACTTCACATTCCTGCCAGCAATTTAGAAACTGTCTATGGTCGCTCTCTGGCCAAAACGCCTCCCTTTTAGCCATCCATCCATGGCTGATGTCCTAAACTGAGTCAGGGCTGCTGGTCTTCCCTCAGCACATGGGACGGCTGAGCTCCCTGTCCCTGCATGGAGCCTGCATCCAACCCTTCGGTTCTGAATGCCCTGCTGGAATCCAGGAGACATCCGCCGCCGTTCGGAGCCAATCAGAAAAGGACCGTTCATCTGTCAGCACAGCACAGAACACAGAGTGCACTTCCCATTCTCCCTCCCAGCCTCCTAGTTTCTCATCTCTCTGTTCTGTCCTGCCTGGATTTGGAGAAAAGACAAAGGGGGTGGGGGCGCCTGGCTCCGGGGAAACCCCAAACCCCTCTTCTTGATGGAACTCTAGGTTGTATGTCAGTTCAGGCTAAAGTCCCAGGAGGAAGGGCTCGGATAGGGATCTTTTTTGGCAGCCTGAGGGTTTAACGGGGACCCTGGCCCGGAGGGGAGGGGGGGGACAGGGGAAGAATTGGGCAGAAGGAGATTTAGCAGCGATGGGGGCTGGAACATCTGTCGGCGCTCAGCCCACCGTGCGTGGCACGATCAGGGGGTCGCCAGCTGCCAGTGGGCACGCTGTGCTGAGGGCGGGGTCCGCGTGGAGGGGCGCCCTCAGCCCCAGGTGTGCACCCGAGGGCGCGTGTGCTTTTGAGAGCCCATCCCGCACTGTTTTTTTGCACAGAAACCAGAGGCTGCGTCCCGGCCTCCAGGCAGCCCTGCCAGTTCATGCCCTGGGCACCGGACCCTCTATGGCTTTTCTAGGGGCAGGAGGCAGGGCCTCTCCAGCCAAGGCCACTGAGGTGGAGGGGTGTGGCCTCTAGAAAGGGCGGGGTCTACGGGGCGGGGCCTCATTCGCTCCCAGGCCCCACCCCACCCTAACTCGCGCTAGGGTGCAGGCGCGGCACCGCCCTCCTCGGCGGAGCGCGTGTCTGACTTGAGCTTGACGAACTCCTTGGCCACCTCGTCGTTGCTGCGCTGCGACAGGATGCGCAGCACTGTGAGCCCCGTGTCGTCCATGTGGATGCGGCGGCCGAGTGGCAGCCAGCACGCGGCGCTCCCGCGCTGGGCCAGTTCCCGGAGCTGCAGCACCGCCAGCCCCACCGTGCGGTCCTCGCGCGCGAAGCAGTAGTCCTTCACGCACACCTGCAGCTCGTAGCATTCGGGGCCTGCATCTGCGCTGAGCGAGCTGGAGGGAAGGACCGGCTCAGCGGGGGGGGGGGGGGGGGGGGGGTCACCAACGAGCCGGGTCCCCGCGCCACCACGCCCGGGAAGATCAGCCATTGGACCATTCACACCAACTACCTCCCCCACGGGAGCTACTAGCGAGCCACTCACATTACACCACCACGCACGTTCGCAGTTAGTGCCCCTCAGAAGCTGGCACCCTCGCCGTGCCACACCTACTGGCAGCCTGACAACTGGACCACGCTCACTAGGGAAACCCATTGCTCAGACTGGGTCTCCCCAGCGCATCACATGGGGCGGGCTGCTGCGAGAACCCCTTTGCCTAGCTGAGCTCCTCCCTCCTGCCCCTTCGGCCAAGCCCACCCGTCTGGCTTTGTAGCTCCTTCCTGGCAACGCCCCTTTCCTGACCCTGCTGCACCCTGCCTTTTGCTCAGTTCTCTCCGGACCCACTTGTCAGCCTCCAGTAACCCTACTACCCTCCCACCCCTAGCCCCCACCTCTGCAGCTCGCGATGGCTGCTCCCACCCTGCAGCAATTCACACAATCCCCAGAGTCCAGTAGGCTGTGTTCTCAGTCTCCGAACCCTTGTGACTGCGCTCCTGTGCCCCAAACCCTCTTGTCCACCTTACCCTCATCCTTTCCGCCCCAACCCCAAGCCTGACTTCCCCCAGGGACCTGCCTGTCTCAGACAGGGACCTGACCCCTGCTCCCCCCATCCCACCAGTGTCTGACTCACAATTGGAAGCTCTCGTTGTACTTGGGCGCCCAGCTGTTGTTTTTGGATTTGGTGGCAAACTTGCGCTTCTTGTCACTGAGCTGAGGCCCAACAATGTTGACCTCGATGAAGGGGCGGAAGATGCCGGAAGTCTGCCACTTAAGGTCGTTGGCAGCCACCACTGTTGGAGGGTAGTGGGAAAGTCTGGTGAGGTTCCCCGTGTGGCAGAGCCATACTCTGCTTTCCGGGTTGGAGAAATAGACTCCATGCCCCAGCAAGTCTGACAGGAGGGAAGCCAGGCCAAGACAGAAAGCTGCAAGGTCCTGGGACACGGTTGGAATTCCTAGTGCAGCCATGCCTGAAACAGATTTATCTCAGGAATTTCCCATTTTTATTTACTTATTTATTTTTGGTTTTTTGAGACAGGGTTTCTCTGTAGCTTTGGAGCCTGTCCTGGAACAGACTCTGTAGACCAGGGTGGCCTCAAATTCACAGAGATCCAGCTGTCTCTGCCTCCCGAGTGCTGGGATTAAAGGCATGCGCCACCACCAACCAGCTATTTTCCCATTTTCTAGACCATTAAAGAAAAACACAAACCAATTCCCAGCCCCCTTGGCTTAAGTGAGCCCGCATCTGGTCCCTCTCACCGCACCACTCACCCTTCACTGTGACTTTCTGCTCCCCAGTTCCCGGATGCGTAAACAACTCCACGTGGACAGACACTTCACCTACAGGGTCTTCCACACCCGAGCCTGGGTGGGACAGGGGAAGATACCTGATATGAGCTCTGCTCTTCCCCACCCACCTGGAGGGACCTCGGCCACCTCCCCACCACGTGCTGGCGGCACCAGGTCCCTGAGGCCCTGAGGGCACCAGGGTGGCAGAGGCCACTGTGAAGCCAAGAGTGCTAGACTGTGGCATTTCCTTGTGTCCCTGTGAGACTGGAGGTGGGTCTTGTAACCTCTCTGAGGCAGTGCACCTGCCTTGCTTCCTCTCCCATTCTCCTACCTCCAGAGCCTGCCTTTTCTCCCTCTCTGTGTGTCCATTTAATTCACTGTAGCCTGGGATGCTGGGACACAGACAAGTGCGCCCTTCCCCACTTTGGCTCTCGTCTCAGCTGCACTCAACAAAATAGCCGGAAATAACCTAGCAGCCCCCCCCACACACACACACAACAAGCCTCCCATGACTCTCCTCTGACTTTACCACAAAGTCCTTCTGACCTCTTGCCTAAAGGCCCCTTTGTCCACTTAACTTCAGCCCAGTGCCCCCCACAGTTCCTCCCCAGCCTTCTGAACTCCCAGGAAAGCTCTGCCCCTCTGAAATGACAACTTCCATGCCCCCACCCCGTCCTGACTCTGGGTTTAACAGGCAAGCTTCAGTTCCCACTGGGAAGGCTCAGGGATGGTCAGGGCCACAGTCATCCTGCCCAGGCTGCAGTGACGGCCCTGTAGATGGGCACATGACCTGGGCCAGGAGACAGAAACTCAGTCCCAGACTTTGATTGGAACTGGCCCAGGGATCTCCAAGGAGACCAACTGACCAATGGCATTGGGACCTAAATCCAGCTGTTCCTGATGCCAACAAACCCCTGATCTTAGTTTCCTAGCCAACAAATGTGTCTGCTGTGTGGTAGCCTTGCACACGGCTCTTCCTGGGGGCTACAATGGCCACCATGAGTGGTCAGCTTAAAAACCACTGCACTGACCACCCCTACCTGTATCTCAGAAGCACATCCACAGGGCCTGTGGGCCTGTGACCGCCAGCACCCCAAACTGCCCCATCCCCAGGCAGCTCCCCACTCCTGGGGCACCCCATGCACGGGCATGGCAAGGAGGAGCATGTGGGAGGCAAGGGGATCAGGACAGTCAAAGGTCCATCAGGTTACCTGTGCTGGACGGGAAGTGAGGAGGGTCAGGGAACGGGGGAGGGGGAGGGTGTACTCCTGCAGCCCCTGAAGAGGGGCACATGGCCCAGCACTGTCCAGCCCAGGCGCCCACCCACATCATCTCATATACCTCCCAGTCACATGCTCAGCCCCCTCCCCCAGGCCGATGCTTCAGCAAGCTCAATCCGGGCCAGAAGTGGGGTGCTGGGGAGTTAGACATGATGGGTTATGTAAGATGTCAGACCACAGCCCAGGCTAGTAAGAAGGAGGAGAGGCAGTGCCAACCCCACCCCAGGTTTGCTGGCTCCACCAGGAAGGACTGTCAGGCCCCACCCTCGCCCCCTAGAACCCTGGTCCTCTGGCAGGGGAAGGTGGCTTCTCCGACCCTCAGCTTTGGGAAAGCTGGAGAGGCCACTTGTTCTTTTCTGGGTGTGGGTGGATGCATAGCCAAGGCTGACCAGAACTTGCAACATCCCAAATTCAGGGACCACAGGTCTGTGCCCGAGGCATGCCTGGAATCGGTCAGGTCCTTCGTGACTGTCCCTGTTTTCCAGGGGACAGAGCAGTCAGGGAGGAGGCAGGCTGCAGAATGACTGACCCAAGACCTTAGAGCAGTTCGTTGTTTAGTATTTTGTGCGTTGCTGGAAATGGAAGCTGCCCCATCCAGCCTGGGGTGCGTGTGGCTTGGGAGAAGGGATGGGACTCCTTCCCCGTGTGGAGCCAGCAAGTTGCCCTTCGCCCTGTGCGAGGACTTGGCGCCGGCCTGCTTGGCCGGTGTCTTACTAGCCGGGCGGGGGAAGAGGGGCGCAGGCACCGGGCACCGCGTGCGGGTGGCGGGCGGCGCAGGCACGTACCCATCTCAGGACAAACGTCTTCACTAAGGGTAAACCTAGTCCCCTTTCCACCATGGACTGACCAGGGTGGACAGGGAGGGAGGAGTGTGCGTGGTGGGGCGAAGGGAGGCGCAGAAAGGGGACAGCGAGTGACAGGGAGGAGAACAAGAAAGAAAGAGAGACAAGGGGGAAAGAAAGAGAGAAAGAAACGTCAGTGCAGACGGACGGACAGACAGACAGCCTCCCACTCCGGGAACACCAGGGACACCAAAAGCAGCAAGAACAGGAGGAGAAACTGAGGCTTGTGTTCCACCCGCTGTGCCTGCGGGTGTGTGAATGACGACCTTCCCCGCTCCAGCGCGAGGACAGAACCTGAGGCCGCCAACTTCTACCAAACTGGCACTTTGGAATATTTCCGAATGAGGTGGGGACAGGGAGGAATGCTAGGACCCCGGAGCTCTGCTCTGTGGCTTCAGAGAGCTCAGAGGGACGAGGGACAGAAGCGAGACACAGACAGAGAGAAGTACGGGGGGTGGGAAGATCTGAGGCTCAGCACCTCCCAGGTCCCCACATAGCCCAGGTCCAGGTACTTCCGCCTCTAGGATCTGACAATCATTCCACGTCAGCACAGCGCAGAGGACCCGCCCCAAAGGAGGCCACCAAGCCTTGGTCCCTAACATCAGAGAGTTCACCTAGAGCTGTCCATCATCTCAGAAGTCTGGTACCAGAGCCGACAACCAGGTGCCACCAATCACTCAACGGCTCCAGGACATTAGAAGTCCCACCCCTCGAGAACAGTCACTAGGTTGCCCTAGAAGCTGTCTATCATCAATGCCTGGCCCCTGGAATTTGTGTGGTCCCGTCCCACAGCCGTCAATCAACCCCTTGTTTCTTTGCCTTGAAAGACTCGCCTTTGGCGCTTTGTGGTCGGATGCCCCGCCCCCATTTCAATCAATCACCCAGGGGCGGAGCCCGCAGCTGGGCGGGGCGACTCCCGCTGGCTCGGGAGGGAGTGCAGAGGTGCCCTTACCCTGCGCAGACTGCGTCTGCACGAAGGTTTTGATGAGCAGGTCGGTGGCCTGCGTGTAGAGCGACAGGGCGTAGCGCAGGGACTGGAGGTCAGGGCTCTTCTCCAGGAAGGTCTTCTTGAGGCCCACGCCCCCCGCGTGGAAGTATTGCTGAGTATGGACAGGATGAGGCTGCTGACGGCTTTCACCACCTCCATTAACACCCGCGGCTCTCACCCTCCGGGTCTTCACCGGGCCACAGCCGCCCCACAGCTCTCACCCTCCGGGTCTTCATCGGGCCACAGCCGCCCCAGGACCTTTGTATTTTCTGCGCCCTCAGATGGAAAGACCCTCCCTGCCCGCTACCCGTTTATTTTACTTTGTCCTCTCACGCATTCCCCAAAACCTGCCTCCTCGTTCCCTCTCTTAAAGCCTTCTGTGGCCCCTCTCTCACCTTGATGGTATCCAGGGCCAGTTCAACCACGGCGCACTGCTTCGGGGTCAAGCTCTTGGCTTCCTCACGGACCATGTGATCCTGTAGTGGCAGGGAAAAGTCAGGTTGGCAAAGCTGACCCTGGTTTTGAGATTGTGGGTCTTGAGTTTCCATGCTGGGGATCAAATGATCACTCAAGCTGAACCCGACTGCCTCTTTCCAGCATAGTCAAGGGCATTTGAAGGTGTGTCCAGGCCGAGAGCAGGCATTTTGTGTCTTGATCCGTCCCCGGGATCCTCGGCTTCCTCACCTTAAGTTTAGACAGCTGGCCCAGCTCCTTGGCCGCATTGAAGATCATCTGTGTTCCCTGTGGGAAGCAGCAGACAGCATGGGTGACGGTGTGAATTTTCTAAATGGTCTCCCTTCCTGAGCGACCCCCTGGCCTGTCTGCCATTTGGTTCCTATCCAAAGGTTCCTGGCGACCGATGGACAGGGGGGTCAGGAGCCTCTCAGTGAGACCTTGTCCTTGGAGAAGCCTGGTTCCCTCACACCCTCTATGGTCCCACAGTTGGAAGACACAAGAGAAACAGGTAGGTGTGGGCAGGCTGTGTGTGGTGAGGGGAGGCACCCAGGGGGGGTTCCCCTCCCCTTAGCCGCCCCTCAGTGGGGATTCTACTCTGAGGATCCAGAAGATCCCTCACACACTGGCGGCTGTATATACCACGTCTCCCAGAGACACCCACCAGATGGCAATTGTGGTTGTGATAATGCCAGGCAGGTCTAGGTGAAAACCCCAGCTGGGCAGCCCAGACAGGTGACTTAACCCCTCTGAGCCGATGCCCCACACATGGGGGAATCACAGCCACCAGTGGCCTTGAAGGGGTGTGGATGTCTTTGGTGACTCGTTTTCTGTCTTGGTCTCCTCACAGGCAACGAATGCATGGCGGACTGGGTCCCAGCCTGAGAGACACTGCCCAGCTGGAGGGCCTTGCCCCCTCTGGGCCTGGTCTCTCCCTGGATGATTAGGGATTTGTTGGAATGAGCTTGCCCAGGGCATTCTGGTTGGGCTGCTCCAGACTTCTGGAGACCCATGCCATGCTATTCTGTCCTTCCAGGACGGAAGACAAGACCTCACACAGGTCAGGATGGAAGCCAGAATCTGGGCCGGCAAGCTCATCAAGACTTCCACTGCACCACACACCCCTTGAATCAGCCCCACGGCCTCAGGACTCCCCGAGATCGGGAGCCGGAGTTACCTCATTTCCCCTGTTGCACCCACCTGCGCTCCGCTGCGAAGCAGGGACCCTCTTGAGCATCCTTCATGCCTCCTACTGCCCTTCCCTCCCCACCCACAAGCAAGCCAGACAGACAGAGGAAGAAGAATAACGGACAGGGCCACAGGACGCCCCGACGGCACGGACCACAGAGTGGAAGGGGCAGGGAAGGAGAAGGATGGGGTGGGAGCCAGACAGACAGTGAGAGGCCGCGCTTACGTCTGAGTGGCTTGGCAGTTTCACCCTGCCCTGTGGAGAGAACCAGGCGGAGGTCAGAGTTCTGGTGGCTGCTGGGAGGATACTCAGTGGGACTTCCCTGCCCCCTAGAGTCACATCATGAGCTCCCTCCCAGTTATTGAAGCAGATACTAGTTCTCCCCAGCTAAGGCACTTGCTCCTTGACCACAGCATACAGGGGCCTAGAAACTGCAACCCCAGCCTTGGGTGCTGTGGCACTTGAGGAGGAGTCAAGGAGGCTCCAGGTCTCTGCACACACCCCGCATGCACCAAGCCTTTCCTGGGGAGGCCTAACTACAGGAAAATGTCATGATAAACCTACAACTCCTTCAGTGTACACGCACACACAGACACACATACTCACACAGACAGACGCATACACACAGGCTTACACAGGCAGACACGCTCACACACATGCACACAGTCAAACACAAGCATGCACACAGACACATGACACATATATACTCACACATACATGTTCGAAGGTGCACACACAGACACATATGCTCACACAAGCGTGCACACACAGTCAAAAACATGCATGCACACATAGAGACACATGCACTTGCTCACACACACAAGCACACAGGCACACATGCACACACACAGTCAAGCACTTGCATGCACACACACATTTGCTCACATACACACGCACACAGGCACACATGCTCGCACACACACACACAGAGTCAAGCACTTGCATGCACACACAGACACACACATGCTCACACACACAGGCACACATGCTCGCACATACACACATACACACAGTCAAGCACTTTCATGCACACACAGACACACACACATGCTCACATACACAGACACACATGCTCTCACGCACACACACAGAGTCAAGCACTTGCATGCACACACCAATACTTTCTAGATCTGCAAACAGCTTCTGCAGATACTCACACCCATCAAGAATTATTAAATCCCAGGTATAGGAGGCTCACAGGCCAGAACACACATTTTGCGTGATCACATTCAGATCCACACATCTCTCACCCCACATGGATGCTACATGGGTACAGCGCCCCTAGAAAACTGCCTGGGAATGCCCTATGCTCAGCCATAACACAAACACCCATTTAGTGCACAGAGAGGCCTGGCGTATCCTGTACGAGTGCAGAATCAAGCAGCTGCCCACAGCCCCACCTCTGTACAGTAAACATCCATTAAAGCAACAAGAACCTGAGCCTGGAGTTGGGTACACACATCCCTGACTCTGGTGAATGATCTGAGCTCAGTCCCTAAGGACGAGATCAAGAGCCACTTCCCACCGTGGCCTCAGCTGACCTTTGCATGAATGAACGGCAGGAGCACTCTCACCCGGACACCCAGGACCCCGGCAAGCCAAGGCCCTCATTACCTTTTCTAGGCCCTTGCCATGTTTTCTCAAGAGGGTGCCCTGCAGAGACAATGTCACAGCGAGGTCAGGACCCAGGCACATCACACTCACCCATGTGGGAACTGGGGGTAGCACTGGCTAGGGATTGGGGAAAGCTGGGGACCTATGGGAGCTCACTCTTAAGAGAGGGGAAGAAGGGGAGGAACAAGAAGAGAAGGTGTATGATCCTGAGGGAGAAGGAAGGGAGGAGGGGAGGACTAAACAGGAAGGGGGAGGAGGAAGCCAGAAAACAAGGAAGAGGAAAGAGGGAAGAAAAAAAGAGGGAGGAAGGTGGAAGAGGATGGGAAGCAGGGAAGAGGAGGGAGAGAAAGGAGGGAAAGTGGGGACAGAGATGAAGGAAGGGAGGGGAGGGGAGAGAAAGAGGAGCAGGAGAAAAGAGAGCCAGAACCAGAGAAAGCCCAAGGTAAAAGCCACTGTTAAAATATAAGCCATTTACATTTGGTGTACAAAGGAGCCCACTGGATCCCAGGTTAGCAGAAGCACCCCACTCCACACTGAGACAGATCCAAATCCGAGAAATCTCTGGCACATGCTTGTGGCCTGAGCCAGGTGGCCTCTCTCCCAGCCTTGGTTTTCCTCATCAAATTGATTGGATTGAGACCTCCTCCCTCAGAGGGTTGCCGTGAAGGTGACCTGCCACAAGCCATCGGTATCATGTATTCCTTTATGCTCTTTCTACAACTGTAACCTGGGCACCGGCGTGAAGCTACGAAGTGGCTACAGAGACCCAAGTCGTGCCCACTGGCAAGGTGAGCTTGGGACAAAGTAAAATGTCACGGTGGCCTAGCCTGACCCACAAAGGGCGTGGAAGATGGGTTTTCTGAGGTGCACAGGTCACTGGGGAGCATTTGGAGGCCTCCATCCCTCCCTGCCACTCTCACAGCTCGGAATCCTGGTAAGAAGATCCACTTCCCAGGCCATGGTCTGGGCAAAGCAGTGACACCCAGACTGCCTGACAGCTGCATCTCCAGCTGGTCCTCCCGATGTGCAGGTGTGAGCACTAGTGTGTGCACTAGGGGAGTGTGCACTAGTGGTGTGTGCGCTAGTGGTTGCGCACTAGGGGAGTCATGAGGGCACACTGCATGCAGAAGGGAAGACCCCACCCCTGCCTCTGTCTGCTTCTGAGACTGGGTGGCTTCCATCTAAGGGACAGGGACAGGGTTGGACATGACAGAGTGGGCTGACAATGTGGATGTAGCCCTGCTTTGAGTCTGGGAGGTCTCCCAGCCCCACCCCTCTCAATGCCCACCCCCCCAGCACACAGATACAAAGTCAGGATGAGGGGAGGAGGGGCACTGGAAGGGTGGGGGTAGCCCCAGTCCAGACACACAGCGAAAGACCGACGACGATGAACAGACAGATGGACAAACGGCTCTCTACTTACAATCATCTGCCAGCCGGAATGGGGGCAGGGTGGGGAGAGGGGAATAAGTCACTGTGAGTGGCCCTGGGAGGGCCCAGTGTGGTTGGGAGGACACTGAGGCACTGACACCCCCCAGCCCTGGCCCTGCCCAGAGGGTCCTCAGCTCCCAGCTACAGGCACTGGCTGAGGCCTCTCCACCCTCCTCCCCCTGTAAGCCCACCTAGGGCATCCTGCCACCAGCCCTGGGCCCTTCATCTTAATGTCACCCTGGAAGACACACCTGAGTGACCCTACTGATCCCTGGTGTCATTACCCTCCCCCCCCCCCGGAGGTGCACTTTCCGGGGCGCGGGCCTCACCGTCTGGTCTGTGAGTGGCGGCAGAACGATGGTCTTCTCCATGGTGTTCATCACCAGCTTCCACAGCTCCTTCAGCACGCGCTTCAGAACCGTCTTCTCGCAGATTTTGGCAAACAGGGTGAGGCTGGGGGTGAGGCTGGGGTCAGTGAGAAGGACCACCCAGGCCCCTTCCCTCCACACACAGGCATGACCTGGCAGGGGGACCATGCATGGTGTATGTGGCGGGAAAGGAGACAGAAGGGGTCTGGGGGGAAAGCCTGGCTGTCAGGGTGAAGGGGGTGGCTACGCAGTGTTGAAGGAAGACACGCCAGGATGCCAATATGGAGGAACACTGGGAGACGGGAGATCAGATAACACGAGGGCTTGGGTCAGGGCCAAGGACAGAGACAGGATGGGCAAGTGAGCCAAGTGAAGCCCAGACAATTCATGACATGACTAGTGGGCTGGAGGAAGGGGACAGTGGCCAGCACACATTTCCCAGCAAATCTACCTACCACAGCCCCAAATCCACCAGCACTATTCACAGCTCACCCAACTGTCAGTGCTCCACACACACACCTCTCACCGTCCCTCACACACACACACACCTCTCACCGTCCCTCACACACACACACACCTCTCACCGTCCCTCACACACACACACCTCTCACCGTCCCTCACACACACACACACCTCTCACCGTCCCTCACACACACACACACACACCTCTCACCGTCCCTCACACACACACAGCTCTCACCGTCCCTCACACACACACACCTCTCACTGTCCCTCACACACACACAGCTCTCACCGTCCCTCACACACAAGGACCTGTCCACTGTATTTTAAGCACTGGTAAGTATTCTGTGCCAGCCTGCCTTGCCTCATGTCATCAATCTTGTGCCAGCCACGGGAGCGGCAACAGGCCTTTGCTATTCACAGATACACATGTCTGTCCCCCCAGCCCTCCTGGCTCCATCCTCACTTGCTGTCCAGCAGGTCCATAATTGGCTGCAGCACGTTGTCAGCATCCTGGGCCACACTGCTGCAGGCACTGGCGGGCACGTTGCCTGTGCCTTTTACCTGGCTCAGGATGTCACCCATCTGTTTGACACACTCCTCGATGTGCGGCTGGAAGCTGTGGGCACAGTGAAGAGGTCTCGACCTGGCTCTGGCCTGGGTCCCTGTCCCCAGCACCCGAGTGAAGGCACACAATAACGCTGTCCCGCCCGAGATGCCTGTACGTGGACATCCAGCTGCTGGTGATGTCATCACTGCTGTCCACTATGGCCAAACTGGTAAGCGATTCACCCAAGCCTCACAGCCAGGCTGTGAGAAAGCTGGATCTGAACTCCCAATTCCCCTGACTGAGCCTTAACTCTGTCCCTGGTATGAAATGAGTACAAGACACCCAAGGCTTGGGGTCATCCCTGCTCATGGGTTCCTACCCCAGAGATGCCCCTCACCTGGTGGCGAACACGTGGCTGAGCTCATCCAGGACGCTGTTGAGTTTCACCTGCAGGTCCTTCAGGGTGCCACTGGCCTCGGCGTCCAGCTGAGGGAGCAAGAGCCTTAACGCATCCCTGCTTTCTCATGTCCCTGGGAAGTTGTCTGAGGGGCTGGGAAGGAAACTGAGGCACAGGCAGCCAAGCCTGCTGTCCAGGATCTCAGTCCTAGCCCACCCCATCACTCACCTCCTTCCCACCCATCGCCTCAAACATCTTCTCCAGTTGGACCCGCAGCTGCTGCGTGTTGTTCATGAGGATGCAGGGCTGGGAAGAGTGAGAATCAGGCTGGCGACTCCCCACCACCTCCTGGGAATCAGGGAACTGGGGTCCCTGGACATGCATGAGCTGGGGTATGGTCCCTTGGGTGAGATCGGGGAGGCTACAAGAGCATCACCCTGGGACACATGCCGGGCGTGGGTACCACAGAGGAGTGGGAAGTCCTCAGGGCCCTCCTACCTCTGCTGACACTGCTGATCTAGTTACACCCTAACGGCTCCACTAAAAACACTCAGTGACACATGGGGGAGCATGTCCTCACCCTCGCGGGCACACACGGGACTCCCCCAGACTCACAGGCTCAGACACAGACATGAGCCATTCACGACCCAGTCCTCAGCACAGATAGACAGGTGGGAACAGAGGGACACAGTTGTCACCCCAGCTCTTAGAAGGTGGGGACAGAGGACCGGGCCAGCCTGGGCTACACAGTGAATTGGAGGCCACATTGGCCTATACAGCAAGACTGAGGCTAACCTGGGGTATGTGGGAAGCTCAAATCCAGCCTGGACTCCATTTTGAGAGCTTGTCTTAAAAATCCAACCACCAAATCACCACCACCAAACTGCACACTACCAACCACCAAATCACCACCACCAAACCGCACACTATCAGGCCCAGACAGACTGTGCAGGTTCACACAAACATACTCAAGCACACTTGTCTATGTCCCTCAGCAGAATTTGGTGCCCTAAACCTTGTGTCATATCTTGGGGTAGGAAGGGACCCTTGGACCCTAAGGGAAGCTGAGTGGGGTGAGGAGGGCTGGGGCAGGGCGGGATGGGGCAGGAGTCCCCGGTCACCACTTTCTCTTTCTCCTTGGAACAGTAGGAGGCGAAGTCCTTGGAGATGATGTCGGCGTACTGCAGAAGCACGTTGCTGATGGTCTGAGGACACAGACACGGGTGAGAGGGGCTGTGGTCTGGGGAACCCTGGTCACCAGGCACCAACAACATTTACTGCAGACGTGGTGACTTGGTGTGGCACAGCCTGTCAGAGGACAGCCCCTCCCCCAGGGGCTTGTTTGCTCTGCAATAGCTCCTGGGTGTTTGTTTTTGTTTGTTTGCTTGGTTTTTTGTTTGTTTGTTTTTGTTTTTGTTTTTGAGACAAGGTCTGGCTGTGTGACTGAGATTGGCCTCAAACTCCTGACCTTGCTGCCCTGGTCTGTATTAAATACAGGGTCCACCACTGCTCATGAGCTCTGCTCGGCTTCGAAGGAACCAACCGAGGTATTAATCTCCTGATCACCAGCGTGACCTGATCCCACGTGGAATCCAGACACCAGCCTTTAATCCCCAGCTAAGTGACCATCCAGTCAAAGTCACCCAAAGCCAGCTCTGCATATGGGGGCTCTGACATTGGAGATCCCCAAGTCCATTAGCCCAAAATGGAACACTCACCTCCCCAACTCTCTGATTTCCTTGGGTTGATGATTGCTTTGTTTTTTTTTTTTTTTTTTTTTTTTTTTTTTTTTTTTTTTTTTTTTTTTTTTTTTTTTTTTTTTTTTTTTTTTTTTTTTTTTTTCTTTGTGTAGTGCTGGGAATTAGAGCCCTGGGCCTCACACACACTATCCAAGTTCTCCACCACTGAGCTGTACGCCCAGCCTCTCAGTTCTCACCTCCCCAACATAGGTGTGTGCGTGCACGTGTGTGTGTGTGTGTGTGAGTGAGAGAGAGAGAGAGAGAGAGAGAGAGAGAGAGAGAGAGAGAGAGAGAGAGAGAGAGAGAGAGAGAGAGAGAACGTGTGTAATCATGTGTGCCTGTGTAGGACAGACTTGTAGAAGCCAGTCCCTCTACCCGAGGGATGGGGTAGGACTCCGGTGCTCCGCTGGTGGCAGGCACCTTCACTCACTGAGCCCCACAGTATTCCTCCTCGATTGTTTGTTTCCCCTAGAGTTATCAATTAACTTCTGTCACCTGCCTAGTTTTTCCTTTTTTTGTGGCGCTGGGGATGACTCTGGAGCCCTGTATACACTGAATCAAGCTTTCCTGCAAAACTGGCCCCGCCCCTCAACTTCCGTAACAGCGCCAGTCTCCCTCTCCCACAGCCCTGAGAGCAACCTAACTTTAGACGTGGCTCACCTCCACATCACCCCAGCCCCGCCCCTACCCGCAACGCCACCGATCCTGCGCACCTTAGCGAAGCGCCTCATGTAGTGGCCCACGATCTGGGGGTCAGGACACTCCAGCTTTTTGATGATCTCGAAGCTCTGGTTAAGCTGGGAGAAGACGTCCACCACGGAGCAGGAGAACAGGGCATGCTCCGATGTCTGCTGGAACTACAGGAAGGGACAGGCTGGACCACCGCATCAACTCCGGGGCGGTCTGGGCCCCGGGACGGTGGAGGCCTTGGCTGGAGGATGCCCGGAGGAGGGCACCCACAAGCAAGACATGGACAATGGACACCATCAACCGCGGGCCACCACCCAGTGCCTCCTTACCCCGTCCTTCTTGTCTCGCTCCAGCGCACCATGTAGGAAATCCCGGGACACCTCCTCATTCTCGTCTAACCATTGGATGACGAAGGGTTCGAACCACCTGGAAGAGAACAGCTCATCTGGGACACCCCTCAGACTCTATGGCCAGCCCTGCCCCACCCGCTGGCTGCCGATTCTGCTTCTGAAGTGGTAATGAGGTTCAGGCTTTAATCCCTGGATTCTGTCCCCAGCTTCCACTCCCACCCTCACTGGGTTTCAGTAATTTCAGTTTGGTTAAAGTTTTTTTTTAATAGTTATTTAAATAGGGGGTTGATGTAGCCCAAGCTACCCTTAAATGTACCTTACTATGTATGTAAGGATGACTCTGAAGGGGGAGGAAGATGGGAAAGAGGAGGGAAGAGGGGGAGAGGAAGGAGGGAAGGGGGAGAGGGGAAGGAATGAAGAGGGGGAGGGGGAGGGGGAGGAAGGAAGAGGGGGAGGGGAAGAGGGAGTTTTCAGCCTCTGTAGAGTAAAAAACATTTCAGTCATGGCTTGTTTCAATATGGCGGCTTCCTTCTTCCCCATCCGTGAACCATCCCATGCAGTGGGTGTCAGGTTCACTGTCCTGAGAAACAGGGAGCTGGGGTCCGGCCCTCCTAGGCACTTACGCAGGGTACTCTGGCACTCGGTCTTTGAAGGCGGGCAGTTCGGTCACGTACTCATTGTACAGCCACTTGACCTTGAAGTGCAGGTTCATGTAGTCTGCGCTCTTGCATAGCCTGTGCTTGTCATGTTCTGGGGGGGGGGGGGGGGACAGAGACTCAGCCCAGAGGCCTGGGGCTCCAGGCAGGGCTCCAGGGTCCAGCCTGGGCCCACGGACTCACCCTCCATGGCGTACTTCATGTCTTGAGCAAACAGGCTCCACATCACCTCGGCGCTGATCTTTCCCACATTCAGTTCCTGCGGAAACCTGGGAAAGGGCAGAGAAACCTGAGCTAACTGGTAGGGAACACTTGGACTTCCTGATGCAGGTCAGAGGGTCTCAGCTCACCAAAGCATCTGCCTGCCTCTCTCTCATACTGCTCAGCTGCCCATTGGGTCAGCCATCTATCTGCTCACGACTCATCCACCTACCCACTCACCTACCCATCATTCCCACCCCCACTCACCTGCCCACCCCACTCACCTACCCATTATTCCCACCCCCACTCACCTGCCCACCCCCACTCACCTGCCCACCCCACTCACCTACCCATCATTCCCACTCCCACTCACCTACCCATCCACCCTTTCCCCACCCCACTCCAGTGCTCAGTTTGGAAGAAACAGACTTGATACCTCCTTTAGCTATTTGATAAATGTCTCACATAGGCCACGCCGCTCCATATGGTGCCCACATTCCCACACAGTTGCTCGGCGCACAACACTGTGCATTGCACACTGTGTGTGCAAAACTGTGTGTGATTTATCTGTTGTTTATGGTCCCTCCACGTTGCCAAGGCCACCCTTAAACTCGAACCCAGATCCTCCTGCTAGCCTCATGGACAGCTGGGCCACATGTGTTTGCTGGGCATGTAGCCACAGCATTCTAAATCAAAACTCATTTCTAGGCCAGTGGGACAGCTCCGTGGTAAAGGGACTTGTCACTAAGCCGAAGACCTGGGTTCAGTCCCCAGAGTCCTCATGGTGGAGGGAGAGAACCGACTCCCACAATGCCCTGTGACTATGATACACATACACACAGGACCCAGGTTCAAGTCCCACCACCCCCAGTAGCTCACAATCATCTCTAACTCCAGTTCCTGAGATCTAATGCCCTCTTCTGGCCTCCACGGACACCAGGCACAAACACGCAGGCATAACACCCAAACATATGAAAGGGCAATATTTGTTAAAATAAAGTAAAATTTAAGAAAATATTTTTGCTTTTTTGAGACAGGGTTTCATTGTATAACAGTTCAGGCTGTCCTAGAACTATCTCTGTAGACCAGGCTGGCCTTGAACTCCCAGAGGCTGCCTCTGCCTCCCAAAGGCTGGGATTTATGGTGTGTGCTACCAGTGCCCCAAATAAAATTTTCACTAAAAAAATGTTGAAGTTCACACCCCATCTATAAACACATATACAGTTAAGTTTGTGTGATCAGACACTAAATTCCATAGGACCTGCATCTCAGGCCTGTCCTCTTGGCTTCTCAGGAGACTCAGGCGGGGATCAACCTGGGCTACACAGTGAGTGTGAGGCCAGCTTTATGGAGACCATACCTCAAAATAAAAAAGCAAAAAGAGGACTGGAGAGATGGCTCAGCGGTTAAGAGCACTGACTGCTCTTCCAGAGGACCTAAGTTCAATTCCCACGTGGAGCTCACAACTGTTGGTAATAACAGTTCCAGGGAATCTAACACTCTCACACTGACATACATCCAGCCAAAACACCAATGCACATAAAATATAAATAAGACATTTCAAATAAAAAGAAAGTCCTGTGTTTAAAAAAAAAAAGTAAAAAGAAAGCCATATGGGGCCCCTCACACACACACACACACACACACACACACACACACACACACACATTTTGAGCTGTCAGAATGGGACCAGTGTCACTCTGGGACCAAGGACCCAGTCACACACTGCTGAAGGGCCACACATGGCCTCAGCTTGCGCTCACTGGTTGAGGCATGGCGTGTAGGAATTCTTATCCTCCTCGATGATGGACACGATGAGTGTGATCAGCTTGGACCAGAAGTCCAGGTTCTTGATGCTGGGGCCCTGCTCCTCTGGGGGGACCTCCCCCTTCTTGGCCTGAAAGGGGCAAAGGAGACGCTGCTGAGAAGCTGGTGTGGGCGGGAGCCAGGGAGACCAGGGCAGACTGCTGCCTCAGGCTGCAAAGAAAGCAAGCAACAAGTGCGGGCCAGCTGGTGCATGCTGGACCTAGAGGCTGCGGCCGTCATCCTCCACTACAGCCAAAGCCAACCTGGGCTACATAGGATCCTCACTGCAAACAAACAAATAAACTAAAAAGAAATTCAACTTAAGCCGCTGTTTCCTTTTCTTTCCTGAGACAGAGGCTGGAGATGTAGCCCAGGCTAGCCTGGAACTGTCCATCTCGTGTCTCAGCATCCTGAGGGCCAGGCCTGAGGAGGCAGCACCACACCTGACGGTCAGCATTGTGGTTTATGTCTTATTTACTTTTGTATGTGTCAGGGTGGGCATGTGTCCTACAGCATGCTAGGTCAGAGGACAGCTTCTTCTACCATGTGGGCCCCAGGGACACACCGCAGGCAACCAGGCTACGTCCTCGGAGCCCTCTTACCAGCCCTCAAGTTTCTCTTTTCTTTTAAAGATATTTTATTTTATGTGGGTGTCTGCTTGTCTGTATGTGCACGGTGCAGTAGGGTGCCCAAGGGGACAAGGAGTAGAGCTGGAAGTGGATGCAAGGGCTGGGTGGGTGGGTGGGTGCTGTGTCCTCTGGAAGAGCAGTGAGCGCTCATCTCTCCAGACCCTGATCACTGAACCTTGCACAAATGGAGGCTCTCCTAGTCTTGAGGCTTTAACCCAAACTCACCAAGCACATTCTTGAGGGCCTACTGTGTGCTCGGTGCTAAGCCTTCAATTGGAGGGCACCAAACACGTTTTTTCTTATTCAGGCCACTCCATGATATGTGACTCCTAACCCCAAATCCCAGAAGAAAATCCCGAGGGCCTAAGAATAGTGTGGTCCCTGACACCCGAGCAGGTGACCCATGCAGGCCTCACCGGGTCCGTCTGGTACTCGCGCCCATACAGCTCGTGGCAGTTGTTGAAGATGTACTCGTAGGTAGAGTTGAGGCAGGCCTTCACGCAGTCCTTCACCACCTGGCTGGCACGTGGGGGGCTCTGCAGCTCCTGAACCTGAAGGCAGAGGCAGGCCCAGTGAGGACAGCCAGGACAGCGACATCCTGATGTTGCTGTGTGTTGACTGCCTGGTGGTTTTTCCCACAATGTTCTAGCTGTTTATGATTTATTTGTCTTGATCTGTAGACCACGCTGCCCTCCACCTGCGAGAGATCCCCTGCCTCTGCTTCCTGAGTGCTGCGGTTAAAGGTGTGTGTGTGTGTGTGTGGTGTGCGTGTTGTATGTGTATGTGTAGCATGTATGTGTGTGTGTTGTATGTGGTGTATGTATGTGTGTGGTGTGCGTGGTATGTGGTGTGTGTGGTATGTGTGGTGTGTGTCGTGTGCATGTGGTGTGTGTGGTGTGTGTTTGTGGTGTGTGTGGTGTGCATGGTGTGTGGTGTATGGTATGTGTGTGTGGTGTGTATGTGGTGTGTGTATATGTGTGTGTATGTGTGTAGTGTGTGTTTATGGTGTATGTGGTGTGTGGTATGTGTGAGTATGTGTGGTGTGTGTGTGGTGTGTATATGTGTGTGTAGTGTGTTTATGGTGTGTGTGGTGTGTGTGTGGTGTGTGTGGTGTGTGTGGTGTGTGTGTGGTATGTGTGAGTATGTGTGCTGTGTGTGTGGTGTGTATATGTGTGTGGTGTGTGTGGTATGTGTGAGTATGTGTGGTGTGTGTGTATATGTGTGTGTGGTGTGTGTATATGTGTGTGTGGTCTGTTTATAGTGTGGTGTGTGTGTATGTGTGGTGTGTGCACATACATGTGCAGGTCAGAGGACAACCTGTGAGAGTCAGTTCTCACCCTCCACCTGTGGACCCAGGAAACTGAACTCACGTCCTCAGCCTTGGTGGCCAGCGTCCACTCACCATACTGCTGGCCCCCACTGTGTGTTTAAGGACAGATTGTAGCAGTGGCCACAGTCAAACTGTAGGTAAAAGGGCCAGGGAAAGAAACATCTTTATCCCTGAACCCAGAACTTTAGTCCTGAGTCTGAAACCAGTGCCAAAGAAACACACTTTGAAGCCTTTAATCCCAGCACTTGGGAGGCAGAGGCAGGTGGATCTCTGTGAGTTCGAGGCCAGCCTGGTCTACAAGAGCTAGTTCCAGGACAGGAACCAAAAGCTACAGAGAAACCCTGTCTCGAAAAACAAAACAAAACAAACAACAACAAAAAAGACACACACTTTGTCCCTAGAATTAGAGCCAGTGAAAGAAATGTGCCCTGGCCTTAAGATTAGAGACAACAGGCTAAACGGGATCAGTGAAAGAAACACGGCTTGGCCCTAAAATCAGAGCCATCTCTGCCCCTGAACAACTAAACTAACCAATCCCTGAACAAGAAACCTAATCAATGCCTCTTCTCCCTGGGAAAACGCCACCCTAAGAAGCCCTATATAAGTCCCTCTGCCTGTTCAGTAGGAGGTTGTGTTTGACCACCCTGGCAGAGGCAGCGGCTCTCCCGGACTCCTTCCAGTCTTCATTCACCAGGAAACCTTGCTGAGATGCTCCCTTAGGGGCAAGGCTGAGCAGAACTGAACAGAAGAACCTTTGGGGACGCTCCCTTAGGGTTAAGCAAGGCTGAGCAGGAAAAGTAACAACTTTTCACTGGAGCCTGGAGAGGTTGCTACATTTCTTCAGGGGCTTCCCCTTTAGCAGAGTGTTAGCAAAAGAAGTAACATCTTAGGCTGAAGAAGCGATAGCTCGGCTAGGACGTTCTCTAAAGCGAGCAGAGAACTCAGCTGTGTAGCCACTCTCCAGCAGCGGAGCAGGATTGCTATATCCTGTGGGGACACCGTTCCCCACCACACCCCAACTTCAGGTAATCTGGCTTCCGGACAAGTCAGGAACCTTTCCCTCCAGGGCTGAGCTGTCCTATTGTGGCCCCAGCCTCCAGAACTGTCCTATTGCGGCTCTAAGTATAGCTTGACTTCCCGAGAGGTCAGGATAAATCTTTGCAGCTCCAGAGCTGCACAGACCACTAGGATTCTTCACAAGGCTGTGTGAGGACAGAGAGGGCCTGCCTGCGGGACACCCACCTTCATCCGGAAGAACGTGATGCTGGTGAGGAGGTCCACCGTGGACTTGAGGTCCTGCAGCCGCTCGGGGCTGCTGGCTGGAAAGTTGTTCTGTTGGCATCAGGTGTGTGATGAGAGACAAGGGACAGTGGGACACGGTGACAGCCCCCAGTGTCAGCACACTGGGTCAGGGATGTCCATATAGGGATACAGGAGCTTGTGCAGGCTGCACTGGGTCCCCAGGCCCTCTCCTCTGGGTGACTGCCTCCCAGGGATACAAATTTCAGGGGTGGAAGACTTGGGCACAAGAGCCTCTCACCCGGTACATGGACAGGTCGATCCTCAGGGAGTTGTGTAGCTGATCCAGAAGCTTCACAAAGCGCTCTTTCTAAGTGAAGATGAAGGAGAGTGGAAGTGGGGCTGCGGGTCTCACTGAACATTGGTTGAAAATCTGAGTGCATCACCACCCAGCCAAACCCCATTTCTTCTAGGTTGTTCTTTAAAGATTCATTTTGTATATGAGTGCTCTATCTGCATGTTTGCCTGCGTGGCAGAAGAGGGCATCAGCTCCCATCATATTTGTTGTGAGTCACCATGTGGGTGCTGAACTCGTGCCTCTAGAAGAGCAGCCAGTGCTCTTAACTGCTGAATCATTTCTCCAGCACCTCTTTCTAGTTTTTTGGCACAAAGTCCCTGTGTCCCAGGCTGAGTTGGACTTGGAAATCCTCCTGCCTCAGCCTCCTGAGAGCTGGGATGACAACCAGGTATGTCACCATGCTCGCTTTGCCTGGTGCTGGGGATGGAGACCAGAGCCTCATCCATCCTAGGCAAGCACTGAGCTACGGCGCTCTTCCCACTGTCCCACTACGCACAAGCACTCCGCCCGCTCCTACCGTCTGATTCCATCCTCACAGCCAGGCACACTGAGGTTCTAAGGCAGATAAGCACGGGGCAGAGGCACACAGGAATTGTGTCCAGCCCTGCCCCTGAGACTGACCCCAAAGTTGGAGGCGGCGAAGCGGTCGGAGGCAGACACGTTGGTGGAGGCGGTAGTGTGTGCGTAGTAGGCATTGATGTTGGCAAGCAGGGTGCTCATGACAGCGGGTACCCCAGGGCACATGTACTTGGAGGAGAGGCAGGCAAAGTGGCTGGCAGGTGAAAGCGGGATGCACTGAGTCTGGGAACCAAGACTGTGGGGTCCCTAGAACTCCAAGACACCACCTGGGAGTCAGCTCCTCTTCCCACAGCTTCCCCTTGGCCTGGCTCTGCCCTTAGAGTCCAGGTAATATCTGTGCCCTTTCTTCCATGTTTTTTAATTTAACTTTTGAGACAGGGTCTCATATATCCCAGGCTGGATTAAAACTCAATAGATAGCCATGAATGACCCTGAGTTCCTGATCCTTCTGTTTCGGTCCCAAGAGCTGATGCCTCAGGAATGGGCCATTTCCTGGCCCTTTTCCTGGCCCTTTTCCATCCGTTTGCCTGGGGCACCACATCTCTCTACCTCTCTCCGACTCCCTGGCCACCCCTTCCAATAGAGGCATCTTGATAACTGCCAGAGATACGAGACACTCCCCTCCCCAGATCTCCAGTGTCGCCCCAGACACCCGCCCACCCACTGTGCCCTCACGTCATGGCTTGGTAGATGGACTCCACGCCATAGCGCATGGCAAACTCGTCCACGATCTCCTGGGCCGTCTCATCATAGTAAACTTTCCAGGCATCGTCACCTTTGGCATCAGGGATCTTCACCACACCATTGTTCTGCACATCCGTCACAAAGTGGAACAGGTTCTGCATCAGAGACACAGGATACCAGGAATGAGGAGGAGCCCAGAGGACAAATTCACTTAACACATCCTTCCAGTCACTCAACCATGTGCTGGCACCATCCTCCTCCTCATCACCAGGTTTCACATTTACACCCATTTACCCACACACCCATCTGCTCATCCATCCATCCATACCCCACCTATCAACCCATCCATCCTTCCATCCATCCACCCACCCACCCACCCATCCATCCACCCACCCACTAACCCACCCATCCATCCACCCACCCATCCACCCACCTATCCATCCATCCATCCATCAACCCACCCACCCACCCATCCATCCACCCACCCACTCACCCACCCA